TATATATCAATATCAGCCATATATTTCTTTTCAATTTTCATATATAATATCATTAATGTCATCTATATGGAAAAAAAAATTTATGAATCATTCAGTGGCATATTCGATTTCCATTCACATAATAATGATACCAATGATATCTACTTTCCAATAGATTTTCATAATGATCATCAGGTTATTGATGATGATGATGGTGGTGGTGTTTTGCCATTTTCCAATGGAATAATCAGATTTACTCTCGATTTTTTTTCGAATGTGTGTGTTGTTGTTGTTGTTGTTCAATGAAGAAAAAAAAATTAAATTAAATCAAATCATCGGCTTTTGATCCAAAAAATAAATGAATCTGAAATCTGATTAATGATTGATTTACATTGATTTTTTCCCTTCGAAAAAAAAACCTAATTATCAATGGGTGTCTACATTACAGTACAGTGAAAATTTATTCATCTATCATCAATAACAATTTGAATTTTATTGAAAATGTCGCGGATATATTTTCGGTCATCATCATCATCATCATCGTCAATCGACATGAGACGTATGAGTAGAGATAATGATGATGATGATGATCGAAAGTGTAATCTATTTTTATATAATGCATATTACAAATACATCGCCAAAATGATAATAATAATGATGATGATGATGATAATCACCACCACAAACATTCAGGTAGCAATATAATATTAATGATGATAAAATAACCAAAAAAAAGAGTTAATATAAATAGTTTTTCGTTTTCTTCTTTTCTCAATAGTAATAGTAGTAGTAGTAGCAGTGGTGGTGGTAATCAGATAGTGCCATCCCATTGATGATGATGATGATGATCATTATTATTCAAATGGATCGAATTGTGGTATAACGACAACAACAACAACAACAACAACAACAACGACAAGATGGCACGCAATATAATAATCCATTAACATTCTCATCATAATCATCAATTGATGTAAATGAAATGAATATAATTCAATTATATTCATAGCTAAAATTATTATTATCAAATCAACAATTAATTTCCCACATGTTCATACAAAAACTACTATATATCTTATTACCATAATCATCATCATCAACATAATCGAAAAGTGAAAGCAAATTTTCATTCGAATGTCATCGAACTTTTGAATGATGATGATGATGATGGATGAATGGACGAAACTATCGATCAATCGATCGAATTACAAAAAGTTGACATTATTCTTTCTCATTTCTTTCTTTCTTTTTTTTATTGAATGAAAGATATTGATAGATTGAATCCATCAATCTGATTGAAATTTTCTCATGATGGTGATGGTGGTCATCTATTTAGTGGTATTTATAATAATAAAAAATAATGATTTTGTGGACATCATTGGCATAATTCAAAGAAAAAAGGGTTACCGACCTTGTTTGTTCAATGATCATCATCATCATCAATGACTGCCATTCGATGCTGAAAACATTGATTTTTTTCATCTCTTCCAAAAATCAAATCAACAAAATTGATGATCAAATCAATTGAATTGGTTAATCTGTGGTGACCATCATTTTTACTATGAAATTGATATTTTTGGTATCTTTAATGATAATGAAATGGTGGCTATATGTGACAGAAAATTTTCCCATATTAACATAAAATTTGGTTTATTTCAAAAGTTTTTTATTTTTTGCTTTCTAATTTCAGCTGCTAAAACGGATTTAAATCTTTGTTCATTTGCATATGATAAGGCGAAAATTTGAATTTTTTTCGAGAATTAAAAAAATTCAAATTTTAAAACGAACAACAACAACATCGACGATGATGGGGCCAAATTCAAATGTTTTTTTTTCTGGAAAAAAATCTCAAGTCCATCAAAAAAAAATGATGATGTGAACTGATTACAACAAAATGATACTAAATTTGGAATTCTTGTGAAAATCTGTTTGTTGACGACAACTATTTTTTTTCAGAAATCAAAATTCCAGATCTAAAACAACAACAACAACAACAACGACAACCAAAACCATGGTTGTCCATGAAAATCTACCAAATATATACACAGGTATGTATGTAGATTGAAATAAATTGATTTTATTCGATTATATCAGATCGATTATTATTAGTAATCGATCAATGATTGAAAGAGAAATTATGATGATGACGATGATGATGATGAAAAGATATGACCAAGTTATTATTATGATTTTCTTTTATTTTTTTTTTCTCAAAAATCATCGAACCAATCCCTTTTTTTGGATTTAGTTAATTTTTTTTTTGCTTTTGTCCTTCATCATCATCATCATGTCCAAACATTGTTGATAATCATAATTTTGTTTGTTTGTTTGTTTATTTATTATCTATCTGATCAAAATATATGTTCAATAATTTTTTTTTTTTTTGATTGACTAGATAATTAGTATGATTATCGATAGTTTGTATCTGTGTTTGATGGACAGAAGCTTGAGGGTCGTTTTGTTTTCTTAGCTTATTGAAAAATTATTTAGGCCAAACTAATATAACTAAAATAGGTTGACATATTTATGTCATATAATGGCATTTTTGTCAAGTTTTTTTTTGATAATAATTACGATGATGATGATGATGATGATGGTGGTAAACAATTTTTTTCTTTACTAATTTTACTTTTATTCATTCACATCCCTATTATAGAAATTGCTGCTGCTGTTGTTGTTGCTGATAATAATGATGTTCTAATCTTGACCAATGTAAAGGATAAACAACAACACAACACATACATACCACCTGATGACAGAGATTATTGCCATGATTACAATATTAGATGTGATACAAAAAAAAACCATCATTGTGTATGATACGGTATGTTTGAAAAATGTAGCCAGATAAATACAAAACAAAACAACAACAACAACGACAACAACAACAAAAAAACTTTCACTATGCTTATCAAAGCTGTTTAATTATAGCAAATCATTGCATAGTCTTTTGGACATTTTCTTATGTGAATATAATTAGAAAGACAACAAACTTTCAACAATTCAAATGTCGTCCATTTTTTTTTTTTTTTTTTTTGAAATGAAACGTAAAAAAAACTTTTGAACTAAATTTCAAAATGGAATTACAGTATGAGAGATAATCCATCTAAAATGGTATAGTATATAACTATATAGTGATCACATTAAAAGAAGCACATCGGTCATTCGTTTTTTTTTTCAACGTTCGAAACAATCATGATCAACACCTGGTGTGTGTGTGTGTCCATAATTTACGAATTTTTTTTTTTTTTTTTTTTGAAAAAAACTTTAATTTTTCAGTAACAACAGCAATGATTATGTTGAACTAAAAATAACCCAATGATTTCCTTTTAGTTTAGTCTGAATTCCCGTTGCGTGTGTGTGTGTGTGTGTGTGTGTGTAGGTTCAATGCATCAAACAATTCTGGGTGATGCTGTGAAAATTAGTTAGTTAAAAAAGCAAAGGTTATCATTTCAAAATAAAAAAGAAGAAAAAGTTTTTTTCAAATTCGTTTTGTTTTTTTTTTTTTTTTTTTTTTCCAGATATTTCAGCATTGTTCCATTGTTCCCATCATACATATGATGATTATTCGTGCGATGATAAATTGCCATTATGCATGCAAATGTGTGTGTGTGAATGCCACAACCAAAATGGTCAAAGAAAAAATATCTGGATCACACACACACACTATGATGATATCCAACCGTTTTTATCGGCCAAAATGGAGAAAAAAAAATTTCTAAAAATGAAATTTTCCATCATCAAAAAAAAAAAAAAAAAAAATAATTTCAATTCACGATCATCGAATGATTGATTTTCAATAATAATCATAATCAACAATAATAATCAATGGTTAACGTGCCGAATCATTATGTATCATCATCATTATTATTATTCTGGCCATTGAAAATAAATTTTCTCTCTGTGTGTGTGTGTGTGTGTGTGGTCGAAGATTATCGACAAATGATTACAATGATTATGTATGTATGTATGTATCTTTCTCACTATTAAAAAAAAAAAAAAAATTCATATCTCATTCATTCATTCATTCAGTGAATCAATCAATCAATCAGATACCGACAAAGAAAAAAACATAATTATATTATTTCATTGTTAAATAATAATAATTTTGAAGACTTTGGAAAAAAAAAGAAAATTTGCCAAATCCTTCGTCTCATTGTTTGTGTACAAAATTGGCAAAATCCCAAACTTGGCTTAATATTTTTTTCATCATCGTCGTCGTCGTTGTTGTTGTTGTTGTTGTTGTTGCTGCTGCTGTTGTTGGATAACTGATCATAAAAATAGATCAACCAAACAAAAAACAGTAACAACAACAACACAACAACAACAACAACAACCAAAATCAAATATAATAATACCGCGATACCACACATACACAATCAAACAACAACAACTACAAGGTTAGATCAGTTTAATTTTTCTTTTTCTTTTTTCTATCCAGGATTGTTATTGTCCGATTTTTTTTTTTGGTTAAACATTTTGTTTCGCATGTTTTTTTGTTTGTATCTTGTACCTGTTTTCATGATGATCACCTATATTTATTCATTTTGAAATCATTTGGATCGCAATAAAATTTTTTTTTTTTTTTTTTTTTTGAAATTCAGGATCAAACAACATAAGAAAACATTTTTGACAAGTGTCGAAATTTTTTTTTTGTTATTTCACAAAAAATTTCTAATTATAATTCTTCAATCAGATGATGATGATGATGATAACGATGATGTTCGGCCTGGATTTTTTTTTTCACCATTGGTCATTCTTTGAGTATGATATGGCTACAGATCACTTTTTTTTACATGACATAATGTAGGCGTTGATTCGTTGATTAATCATCATACACATCCATAATAATAATAATAACCGGATTATCATTATCTTTTTTGGAGAAAAATTTATCATCTTTTCATCTTAATCAAATGATGATGAAATCAGGTAAAAATCGATACATTTTATAATGTTGAATTATTGTTCAATTACTAATTATGATGATGATGATGATGATGATGATGATGAACCAATTTCGATAATCTCAGCAACTCATGATGATGAAGATCGTTGGTCCTATTTGATCAAGAAAACCAAACAAAAACAAAAACGAAAAAAAAACGATTACAATCAAGAAGATACAGAAAGGGAAAAATCGTGAAAAAGAAATAAAACAAAAAAAAATGAAACTGAAAATCAACAACAAGATGAAGAAAAAATAAATTTTTTAATAATCCATGTCTCCATGTTGGTTTTGAAATTTGAGATCATCATCATCTTATTATTCATTCATTTATTAATCCTTCTATATAAAAATCAAGAGAGAATCATTGTCTAAACATTTTTTATTTTTCGTGGAAAAATTTTTCCATAGTGTGATAATCCTTATTTCGCGCTAATCTTAATCAAACGATGTGTGTGTGTGTTTGAAATGATCAAATAAAAGATCGGATTATATATTTGTAGCCAAAGAGATGCATGCAGGAATGTCATTATCATTCGGATGAAAAATTTTGATTTGATACAATCATTCAAAGCTCTCTCTCTAATAATAATTTTCAGTTTCAGAAAAAAAAATCCATTTTCTTTTCGGTTATCCACGAATGAACAAAAGGAATTGAATTTGAATTATAATACCTGAAAGGAAACATACATACAAACAAACACTACTAACCTTTAATTTAAAACCACGCCTTTCCAGAAATGTTCTTGTTTGATCACAATGTTCAAGAATTTTTATCATTTCATTTTTTTGTTGATCAAAGTGATGATTAGTATTTGATTGTTCTGAATGGCCATGACCATTGTTATTGTTAATATCGGATTTTTGTTTCTGTTGTTGTTGTTGTTGGATTTTTTTCAAATTTTTAAGCATAACTAATGTTGACTGACGTATGTTACGACGAAATTCGGTCAAATATTCAACAATGGCTATTTGATCAGGCAAAATAACATTGGCCATTGAAGATGATGATGATGATAAATCAAGACCATAATCTAATGATGTAGCTGAAAACCATCGTCGTAATAATTGCCGTAATCGTATACATTCGAATAATAATTGTTGTTGTCGATTACATCCATCATCATTGTTATTATAACTGGAATCTAACCAAACGGGTAATGTATTCGGAAATAGACTAGCTAAACGTATAATTCTTACTAATGGACGATTCATATCCATATCATCTAGAATACCGGACCATATTTCTTGTTCAATTTGATCGATCCATTGACCAAGTGATAATCGATCATCATCGTTATCGATTGAAGAATAATCATTTACAACAGCGGTCATTGGTGATATTAGATCCGAATTAGAATCATTTATGATTGTTGATGATAGTTTATATATGGCCCATTCAATATGTCGTATAAATTCACGTAATTTTTCATCAAAAGCCGTCATTTCAAGTAAAAGTTTTTCATCGAAATCTATTTCTATAAATAAATTTAAAAAAAACGATGATGATTAATATCCGGTCATTTTAATCATTAGGAGGATTTAATTAATCAAGTTAAACAAATGATATATAGGGAAAAAATAGAAAGCTTTTTTTAATTCAATCGAAAAATTGCAAAATTGATGAACCACAACAAGAAAAAGAAGAAAAAAGTTTTTTTTTCGCAAATTTCGCTTTTTATGGATTTTAATTTATGAGCAGAAAATGAAAATCCAATTAATGAGAGATAGTCTAATCAACAACAACAACAACAACAACGAGAAATCCTCATCCTACTCAATCAAATCAACATTCACCTTTGTTGTTGTTATTGTTGTTTCAAGTTATTTGCTGACCCTCAAAAATAAATTGGCATAAATTGAATAATCCAAAAATAAGAAACGTAAACAGAGAGAGAAAGAGAAAAATAATAAATGAAAAACAAACATTCAACATGTTTAATTCGATTTGATTTTATTCATCATTCAAACATGCAAAATGTTCTTGTTTTGATGATGACCAACGATTGTTTCGTTCATTCCTTAACATTATCAAGTTTGACCGAATCATAATCATGTTTGCCTTGGACAACAAACAACCAACCACTGAAGACGATCTATCTTGATATAGTACGCATTGATCGTCAAAACTGTTTTTTTTCACCATAATCATCATCATCATATTGGCGATGGCCATTACGGTTAAAGTTAACTAAAAATATCATCTCAAACATCGAAACTACACAATGAACACACACACATACACGAAACACCCAATATATAAAACGTTCAATGTTCTTTACAAGATATATAATGGTCATCATAATCGGTTATCGAAAATCATTCAAAAAAAGATTATGACAGGTTACAATTAGCATAAAATAGATCTAAAATGATGATGATGATGATGATGTAGAGAAGAAAATGAAAAGAAAAAAAACAAAACAAACAAACATTTATTTGGTCAATGTTGTTGTTGTTGTTATATTTAACGATTTTTCGACCATTATCGACATTATCATCATCAGTTATTAACAATAATAATGATGGAGACCAGATTAGGTACAAACATCATTTTAAGTGAAACCAAATTATCGATGTTATTCAAACAAACAAACAAACAAAAAAAAACAATCTGAAGCAAAAACAAATTTGATTCGCATCTTTACATCATTAGAATCAATGAAAACAACAATAAAAAAAAAACAAAAAAAAAAAATTCAACCCAAATGATTATCATCATCATCATCATCATTTCATTTGGACAATAAACAACATCCTAATTTGTATGTCGATCGATTGATTCATTTATTGATTAATGATTAATCAACAAAAATGGGAAAAATCAAGTGAAACGATAATAATAATAATAATAATGTCCGGTTCAATGGCCAGCATAGGTCGAAATAAAATCGAATTTTTTTCTATAGATAATAGAATCATAATCATTTCATAGAAACTTATCATGATATCATCATTAGGTCAATATAGCGAAGGAATTGAAAAAAAAATTATCTAAAATGAAATAAAAATTTTCAGAAAAAAAAAGAAAAGAAAAGAGTTATTAATTGGGACAATTTTTTTTTCAGTGTCCACTCTTTTCTAAAAAAAATGTGACCACCATATCCGATTGATAATCATATCATCATCATCATCATACAAGAAATGAATGAAGATGAATGACCAGGTGAAACGGAAAATTAATTTACAATTTCTTTCGAAACTATCAGATAATTGGAATTGAAATGAAAAATTTGAAAAAAAAGAAAATTTTTTTCCTTTTCATTCATATTCATTGAAATTGAATTTTAAAAAGTCCGAGTATAAATAAAATTAAATTTGACCATAATTCAATGTCGTCTTCGTTTTGATCATTTTCATTGATGAAGGATAGATGGTCATAATATTTTGAAATGAAATTATTTTTTTTTTCGCTTCACTCATTTTTTTTAATAAGTTCTCCCGGATTCAACTTTGACCCGAGCTGACCCCAGCCGGCCGCCCGGCATGACCACATTATTGATCAATCTATTTTAAGCGATATGTTTAACTTTGTTATTTGAACATCACCATCATCAAACACAATATATAAGTGGCCATTTTTTTTGTCCATACTAAATATGAATGAATTCAATGATTATGATGATGATGATGATGATGATGTGTTTGGACTAATAAACAAATTATATTTATGTCGATGCTTCTAGGCTCTTTTTTTTGTTGGTTGAACATCTTACAACATTCTACAATGAAAGACGAATCATTTTTTTTTAGAAGAAAGTAAATCAAGATTCAATCATTTTTTAAATGTTCAAATGTGTCAATCTTGATGATTATGATGATGATGATGACCTCGAAATATTGATTTGAAAATCCCTCTAATCCGTAAATCTTTTTTAAATGATCAAAATCATAAATTATTTTAACACACATGTTTGAGACAAGAGGCGAAAAAATTGAATCAGAATGACTCGGAGATACATGATTGGAATGGAATCAAAAAATCTAATTGGATAACATGAAATTAAATCTAATTTGTCGCCATTTATAATAGGTACGATGATAATAATGGGAAAAAATTGAATTAAATTTCCAAGAATTCTGTCGGCAGGTGTGATCATCAAATATATTGATTATTTATTTTTCATTTTATTTGCAATGAGAATGAACTTACCAGCACGATAATGTGTTCGTATGCATAGTAATCGAAGAATGTTTGCCGAATATTTTTGAAGAAAGTCTTTAATCAAAATAACGTTGCCTAATGATTTACTCATCTTTTCTGAACGAAGAATTAGATGGCCAGAATGAAGCCAAACATTAACGTTTGAATATAATTCGCGATGATTATGATTATGATGATGACCTGTTGAATTAATTTCTGATTGATATAGATATGCATGACTACAACATGATTCACAATGATGATGTGGAAACACTAGATCTGAACCACCGAAATGTAGATCAATTTTATCACCAAAAATTGAATGTGATATTGCACTACATTCAACATGCCAACCTGGACGTCCGGCAATCACTTGTTGTTGTTGTTGCCAGTGGCCAATTTCAATGACCATTTTGGTTCATTAGGTTTCGATGATTTCCATAAGGCAAAATCTTTTGGTGAACGTTTACCGATAGATTTTATCGTCACTTGACTACCACCAAAATTTGGTATATTTTCAATAGAATATTTCTGTAGAAATTTTTCATAATCAAAATTAATATCACCCGTTTCAGGACTAATATAAGCGAATCCTTTATCATAGATTCGTTCAATATAATCACTAATAGTATCGATATTATCCAAAACTTTACCAACATAATCCGGTGTTGTCACACGTAATGAGTTCATATCCTCAACAAACGATTGATAATATTCATTGGATAATTGTCGATAATCAACACCGATTTCTTGAGATTTTCGTATAATTTTATCATCAATATCGGTAATGTTCATGGCGAAATATACATTAACATTACAGTATGTTTGTAACATTCGAATGATTAGATCACAACGTATGTAGGCGATAGCATGACCTAGATGACTATGATCATAAACAGTTGGACCACAGCAATAAAGATTAAGATTAGCATCATGACGATCCGAACGATTTAAATAGGCAACATTCGGAATGATTCGATTCTGTTTGTTGAATGTTGATCGTAATTGAAGCTGATCAAATTCAATGATTCCACCAGTGTTCGATAGTTGATGTTGATATTGTCTGGTGATTGATGATGCTCGAACAGCTACGATTCTTTGAATCAGCCGGCTCCAGGAACGTGGAATCCACATTTTTTTCTTTGATATTTCAAGAATAATAAGAATCCCGCAAAATCAAACCAGATCACATGATCATTTTTGAGGATACCATCCAAAAAGAATGTAACGGCAATTTTTTTTGGGGTATGTGTTTGCGTGACTACCGAAACGTTCGATGATATTGATCTGTGTGTGTGTATGAATATCGATGCTAAAAAAAACTCAAATTTATTGTTTTATTTGATGTGATTTTCATTTTCTCTCCTATGTTTGATTGCTCAAGAAAAAATGAATTCAGAATCCAATAATGATAATGACGATAATACGAATGACAATTTGTCTGTCAATGTTGCTCATATGTCAAATGGCCATAATCGACAACCATCAACCGTGCATACGAGACTAAAATCTATTGAAAGTCGTCAATCAGTGAAAATTGTTCTACATAACCAATCAAATCGTAAGGTAAATATTACATGGATCGATTATGATGGCAATGAACGTATTTATTCAAAATTGAATCCAAGATGTAAATTTGTTATTGATTCATATGTAACACATCCATGGATATTTCGGGATATTGAACGAAAAAATTTAGCCATATTCGATGCACTGGTCGCTAATCGTCGTGATTTACTTGCATTTCATAAATGGGATAAATATTCTGAACAGAAACGATTTCAAGTAGCCGATCGTATACTATTTCCACGGCAACATAAACAAGATTTTGAATTCATATTGGTCATCATTAAGAATGGTGTACATAGTCTACAAGAATTATGTCTCTATTCATTAATTGAACAATTACATCGATCATCATCATCATCATTATTATCATCACGTACATCTACAACAACAACAACAACAACATCGAATTGTGAATCCAGATCTATATTACCATCATATATTATCGACAATTTACCTAAACATCTTTATGAAAATCTACAAAACTACCTCAATAATGGTCAATGTTTATTAGAATTTCTACCATTACAATAGGATGGTGATCTATAATAGGATATGAAAATGGTGCAATTGTTTTATTCTGGCTTATAATACTATACTCAACAAACAAATTCATTGTTCATTTCGTTTGGTTTTTTTTATGTTCTCGATCACTGAATCGGTTATTATTGTAATTTCTTTTTTTAATTAATTTTTTTTTGTGTTTGATGAAAAAATTTTATTTGTCTGGCAATTCAAATTATATTTTTTCTGTTTTGTTTGTTTATGAGAAAAAAAATGAATTTTTTTACAAATTTCAATCAATCAATAATAATTCTATAGTACAAAAAAAATGATCTGTATCAGACAAAATGAATGGGAAATGGTTATATAATGTGTGATGAATTTGAATTCTATTGTGAAGAAGAATGTGCATATTTGTTTAAATCAAGAGTGTGTGTGTAACTTGTTGATTCGATTTATTTAGCTTTCCATTTCGTCGGTGATTGGTTGTAGTTTTGATTCAAGCTGTTCAATTGTTGCCGAAAGTTTACTATTTTCTGTTTCATTTTCGGATGATTTTCGATCTATCATGGTTTCTTCGTTCCGTTGTTCTGGTGCCAATTGTTCGTCGATGGTTGTCGTTGTTGTTGATGGCATTGAATCATTCGTTTTTGAATCAACATTACCAGAATCAGAAATGGTTCGAAATTCTTGAGAGCTCTAATATTCGGATAATTCGAAATGGATAATTAAATTGGTTGGAATTTTGATAAAGAAAAAAAAATACTTACATGAGATTCGGTTGAACTGAATAATTCTTTTAATTTATTAAGAAAATGATCAGCTTTTTGTCGTACACGTTCTTCGGGTTTATATTTTCGACATTTTTTCAATGATGAAATCAATTCCTTAAGATTATCGCCAAAATTTGATACATTTTTCGATGTAATTTTCATTTTTACATCATCGATACTGTCCATTGTTTCTAGACATTTATCAATATTAGCATTTGTTTTAGATAGGCTTAACTTAATATTCGAATCGATTGTCGCTAACATTTCATTGATCATTCGATTCGAATCTTCTTGGTTACGATTTTTCGCCTTCTGTAACCGTTCCAAACGTTTACGTTCCATTTTCTCACGTTTTCGTCGCTCTTTTTCTCGTTCTTTTTCTTCCAATTTTTGTGTCAATTTTTCATCTTGTAATTTTTGTTTCAATTTCATTACATCTTCAATTGTTTCGGTCATTGTCGAATTCTTCGGTGTTTGTATCATATCATCATCATCATCATCGTTATTATTGCTGTTGTTGTTGTTATTATTATTATTATTGTGGGCATTTTCTTTTGACTTTGAATCATTCGAATCACTATCATCATGAATGGTGAGTCGTCTTTTTTCAGATTTTATTTTTGAATCTTCAACATCCGAAAACGACGATGAAGACGATGATGATGACGAAATTTTTAATCGTTTATTTTTCTTCTTTTTAGAATGATGTTCATCATCATTATCTTTTGGTGAATCAATATCATTGGCTTTGCTATTATTGTCATTTTCATTATCATCATCATCATCGATATCGGAAATTTCTACTTCGCTATCTGATTGTTTAATTATTTTACGTTTTTTACCGATATTTGGTTTCTTTTTTTGATTTTTCACATTGTTTTCATCATTATCATAATCATTGTCATTGTCAAGCATAAATGATGAACGATTAAATTTACCGGAATTTTTTTTCTCCACTTTTTTGCCATGATTATTATTATTATTATTCGATGATGATGATGAATTCTTTTTGATATTTTTTCTATTACGATTTTTTACAGATTTTTCACGATCAAATTCATCATCATTGGAATCTTCATCGCTCTGAACATTTTTCTGTTTTCGATTTGATGACGATCGATTTTTCTTGCCATCATTCTTCGATTTGGATAATTTGCGACTATAATCTTCTTCATCATCGTTAGAAATACTTTTATCATCATCATCATCATCATCATCGAAACTAGCCGAATCGTCAACATCAGATTTCTTAAATGATACATCACTTTCATCATCATAATTATTATGTCCAGATAATTCACGTTCATCGCGTAAACGTAACATTTCTTCAGAATTCATTGTTAAATTTGGATGTTTTTCAATTTCTTCAAGTCCTTCATTAAAATTTTTCATCTTACGTGGAATGCCTAACTGATGTTTATATTGTTGATACGGATAGATATCTTTGGCCGATACAACAGCACTAGTTTTGAAATAAAAAATTGAAATTTAAAAAAATTTGAACCAAAACAAAAAATGAAAAACTCACAGCTCATATGTACCAAAAAAGAAGACTGGATAACGTCCAGGATATGGTTTATAACCGATGGGAAAATCTTCTTCAATCTACAATCAATGAGTAAGTAATGTTTTAAAATTTTAAAAATTAATAAAAAAAATTTCATCATTTACCCGAGCCGGCCAAGGTGGATATCCTTTAATTTTGGCAAATACAAGATCGCCTACAGAATAATTGCGTATGGGTTTTGGTGGCATCCTATTCTTGTATCGTATTTTGTTGGTGCTAGATGTTTTTTTTTGCAGTTGCCACTAGAGAAAAAACAACAACACTTAGGATCCCTAAACCAAACTGAAACACACTCAAACCGAGAACCAAACCAACAGTAGACCAAAGAGAGAGTAGAGGTATAGTGTCAATGTATGAAACGTTTTTTTTTTTGGAACCGGTGGTCACCACCAGTTCGAATTGGTGTAGCGGACCGAAAAAAAAATTCGGTTCTATATACAGATGATTGAGATGGGGAATTTGATTTTAATACAAGGCACTTTCAGTTTTGAATAAATAAATTTGAGCTTGAAGATTTGAACTGATTGTGAAAGACCAGATTCTGGAACAGAATATTGCGTTTTGTACCATTTATTATGACCAGACGATGATTATGAAATGATAAATTTATATTTCATTTCATAATCGTTCAATGTTTACATTCAGTATTCATTCATATTAATATAATATAAAACATTTATCCAATTGATGATGATGATCAATGAATATATTCGATGATGAATTGGAATGTGTTAAAAACAGGCAAACAAATTTCAACACCGTCGTCTAAATCTACTCTATCGATCTTTTTGATATAAAGAAACTAAATAAAAAAAAAAATCTGTGGTTGGATCGAAATGGTGGGATCGAATTTGTTTTTTTCAAAATAAATTTTTTCTCTTTTTTTTGTCCAAAGATTTTTGAATAAAATTTTTCCAATTTAATGAAATCATTTCCATTTACAAAATATAAATCAATTATCATCATAAAAAAAAAAATAACATTGAAACATATGGACATTGGCAAAATACATGTCAATGATTGTCTAAAACGAATGAACCGAGGCAAAATTTCAAATCTAGTTTAGATTTGAAATCTTTTTTTTTTTATTTCTGCCACCGGAAACCATTGTCAATCGATTATCGATATTTAATTCAACAAATGGATTCAAGTGATCAATCAAAAAAAATTATTGAATAATTAATTAAATGAAATTGTTGGAAACGAAAAATCAAAATTATTTCTTTCCATTTTTCGATATGTTTGTCATTGTGTATTGGATAGACATGGCATAAATTGGTATAAATTTTTAATTGCAAACAAAAAAAAAAAAATAAAAAATCTTCACACCTGTTACATTCTTTATTCTTGTGTTCATTTGAATAGAGATAATTTTAAAATTAATTATATATTCCATTCCATTCCATTTCATCGTCATCATTTAGTTTTAGTTTTCTGTTTTTTTTTTCATTTCAATTTTTTACATTTATACACCACTACTATAGATGCAATTTTTTCATTGTGTGTGTGAGAGAGAGAGAGAGAGAGAAAATTGTAGAATAACTAGCAGCATAGCAATAACAACAACAACAACAACAACAACAACAACAACATTGCCATTGCATTTGATTTTTTTTTGTTTCCAAAAAAGAAAAAAAAAATTTCCCCATTCATCCATCTATCGTGTCTTCATTTCATTTGAAAGCGTGTTACTACCACTCTCACTCATCATCAAATAAATATATAAAAAAACTCAAATCAAGCAACAAACAACAAAAATTGAAATAATAAAATTCATTCAAAAAACATTATCTCCAAATGTTTTAAATATTCTCGAATACAAATAATTCCACCACCAACACTTATCCTCGCTAATTGAAACAATTGATATGATGTCAATTTAATCGATCGATACTACTCTGTGTTTGTCATCAATGTTTATCATTAACTAATGATTGATTGATTGGTAATAGAAAAAATATTTCATAAAACTATCAACACCATCATCACAAATCAAATCAATGAAATGTGTCAATTTCCGTTCAACTAATTGGACGAATGAAAAAAGTTTGTCATATTTGTATGTGTTGTATCTTACTAATAAGTACTGATTGTTGGGTGGAAATCGGATTCGAATGATGTGAATATTGGATTTCATTCGAAGATTTTCGAAACTATTTTCTGTGTTTTGTAAATTTTACCTTGAAATATTTTTATTCATCATCATCATCTACATTATTATATCTCCTGTGTGTATGTGTCAATCCTTTATTATTCATCATCATCGTCATTAACAACTATCTCAAAGTTTGACAGTTTTGTTTTTTTTTTGGCTTGAATCTTCCATTTTTTTTTGGCTTTCATTTGTTGAAATCTTTCTACTTTATATTTGTGTCTTCCGTTGTTTGGCAGCAAATATCATCGAATTTAACGACAAACGAAATAATAATAATAAAAATCTCATTGTCGTTAATAATGTCAACACGTTGATTTTTATTTCGAGATTGTCATCTTTTTATTTGGTGTCTACTTGTTTTGATTGTCTTTTTTTTTGGTGACATCAATTATCAGCAAGAAGTAAAAAATAGAATAAAATCTAAAATTTACGACCAATTTGTCAAGATAATATACATACCTGCTGTTTGTGTGCATTGTGTTTGTTTTGTTCCAATTTGGAACAGAAATCTTAATTTTTATTTTGTGTTTAAAATAATTACAAATACCATAAATTATCACAGCTGCTGTTGTGGCGTTATTTTTAACTTACAATTGATATTGACATTTGAACATAGCCAACGATCAAATATTATATCCAAACAACAACACAATGGCATCAATGTCTTCCTTTGTTGATTTTTTTAGTAAATCGAAAAAAGTAGGCAATAATAAAAATGTAGGAACGAAATGAATATTCTTGAATGAAATGAGAATTCTTTTTGTTTTGTTTGCTATTTTTATTATCATATCATTATCAATCATATTTTAAAATTTATTTATTTTAAACTCAAATATATTGCTTTAAGGCTAGAATTAATCATTATTTTGATTTCTTTTTAATTTTTTTTTTTTGTTATTGATCGATTACAACAACAAATGTTGTTTTCTTATTATATCCGAATTTAATCAATCAACTAATCGATTATTTATTCATTCTTTTTTTCTCAATAAATGATGCCACTATATATATCTGGTTTAATGATTGGAATTTTTTTTTTTCTCATCATCTTCATTCATATTGTTTGCATTATGTGATGCATCGACTAACCAATCTAAACAACAAAAACAAAACGCAGACATTTCGACCAAAGAAAAAATTCGAACCCGGAACATTACGATATTCATTACATAAACAAGCGATAGCTAGTCTAAATTCGGGCATTAATCTTCGTGAGGTTGTTAAACTACCACAAGGTAAGTTTTTTAAATTGATGATAATGACATACACACACACAAAAAAAAATGATTGTGTGGTTTGTGAAACGATTTGATTTTGCATCCTTAACGAACATTTTAAATGGAAAAAATGATAACATGAACCAATTTTTTTTTTTTTTTTTTGATGATTAGTTGTTGCCTCCCAATTCATTCTTTTAAATTTAGGTCGTTATCCATTTGTTTGATCAATTACGAGCATTATTCGAGATAAGATTTCATGGAAAACATCATCATTATTTTTATGATGAATAAGATCCTATTAAAAAGAAATATAAACAAAATTGTCATTTAGATTTCAATATAAAGCTATTTTTGTTTTAGTAAATCAATGAAAAAAAAAAAGAAAACATCATACCTTGTGATAATGATAATCATAATGATCAATGTCATTCAATCATCACAAGCAAAATCATTTTTTCCATTCAATGAAGAAATATTAACAGTCGGATGATCTGTTTGATGTTTGAATTTTTATTTACCGAAAATTCGGGTCCTCAATGATATATACTGTTAAATCTGATTAATTGTCGAACATTTTTATAAAAAAAAGATTCGAAAAATAGAATCTTTTTTTTAAACATACGAAATATTGTTGTTCGTTCATAAATGACATGTTGATCTAAATTTAGTTAACCCAAAAAATAACTGTACTTGAAATTCAATTAATAGATTTTTTTTTCTGCCGAAAATAAAAACCGTCTAGAAACAACAAACGCCGGTACCAAACAATATCACCCAGTTGAAGCATTTTCAATTGAAATTTTCCTTTTTAAAAAATACATTGCAAACACGCCTACTTTTTGTGATTAGAAAAAGTACAAAAAAAAATTAAAATTTCCACTTCTGTTTTGTGTCTATTCCATGCGTTCCTTTCCCCACAAATAATCATTTTTACAAAACCACAATAGCCACAATTTTATGTGTGTAAAGTTTTTATTTATTCACACACACACACAAAAGAACGAAACAAAGATAATGATAATAATAAGGTCATTTTTGCATGAATGTTCCATTTCAAACAAACAAAAAAAAACTTTTTGGGCTTTTTTTATGTATGATCATCATTGATTTTTTTTCTAGTCATTACGTTTTGTGAACATAAACATTTTTGGAATGGATCAAATCGAAAAAAAATCCGTGTCCATGTTCTTATTATGAATATTATATATATATGATAACTTTTTATGGACAAATAATTTTTCCCTTCTTAAATAATGATTTTTTTCCTTTTTTTATTTTTTTTTGCCATTCTAAGATGATCAATGATGTTTGGTAGTCGTGGTCATTTTGTCTCGGATCATCCATTGATGGATTGATTGAATTGAATTTTAATTTTCTTTTCTTTTTTTATGATAATCAAGGATGATCACAATGTAGTGTGTGTGGGTGTGTGTTTGTGTTTTGCTTGATGAAAATAAATATCGAAATAAAATAAAATTTCACAATATAGCACCCAAGGTGTGTGTTTATACTGTTGCTATTTCTGAAAATTTTTTTTTTTTTTTGATCGATTGATCAAACATTTTTTTTCTGGATTTTTCTCTCCACCAATGAAATTTTCAATCATTTATCATATTCATTTTATTTACTAATCAGATTTTTTTTAATTTTGACTTTCAGTGCACATATCATTCATATCACACAACAGCCTATAAATCAATTATTCAAGTGATTGAGTATTTCTTTTTAATTGATTGTATTGTTTTATTTGAACGAATGAATGAATGAATGTGTAATCAAAACAACTACAGACAACAGATTCTTCTGTCTGGTTTTTGTTTTTATTTCATCATTAAATTAATTTCGATTTGATTGTGAATGTGTTTTTTTTCTTGTTTGGATCGTCATTAGATTTTGCAATGTTTTTTTTTTTGCTTTTTATTTCACACTTTACTTTTTCGTGACCCATGATCAACAAAATTGTAACATAATCACCGACTGAATATTATGGCCTTTTTTTTGTGTGTTTATCATGAATTTTTTTTCTCGTTCCCCATTATAAAAGAAAATGAATGAATGAAAAAAAAGTGATCCATTGTTCCAAACCTTTCGTTTCTAATATTAAGGCCTATGACACGCACGCACTATGAGCAGATTGCATTCGATTTTGTTGGATGTGAATGGAACAATTCGCATATCGTCGTAACGTACAATGTGTCTGTGTTATTTAACTTGACATTGTCAATTTGACTTGAATTTAGTTCAGTTTCTTTTTTTTCTGTCAATTGCAATTTATCCATCCATTGAATATATTGATGTTGATGATACCATTTCGTCATCATCATTATTATTATCTTCATCAATAAACCTCTTGCCATTGACATCGAGTTCATCATCATTATTTTTTGACTTGAAATCACTGTCGAATGAAATTCAATTCGTTACTGTTGTGAAAGAGAAGGGCAATGTAATGTTGATGAATCGAATCGAATTGATAACACATAGCAAACAAACACAGCTATTCGATGTTTATCATAAAGAGAGAGAGAGAGAAGAGAGAAATATAGAAAATGAATACATTTCCGGATTTGATTTTGTCCATACAAATAACCATGCTTGCTTGTAACAAATTATTGTAGGATTTTTATCAAATTTCCCGTTGGAATCAAATTTCAATTTCCTCTTTTATACACTTTCAATATATAACGTCGATACCCATGTCATGTCATATCATATATATTATTTGATTGTCCATTCAATGAAAAATTATACACACTTATAAACAGGATGTCATGTCAATTTAACTAATTCTTAATGTATATTTTGATTAACATTAATTATAGGCGAAGATCTATGCGATTGGATCGCTGTACATGTTGTCGATTTTTTTAATCGTATAAATCTTATCTATGGTATTGTAACCGATTATTGTACGGATGAATCATGTCCACGTATGTCCGGTGGACATAAATATGAATATCTATGGGCTGATGGTGTTAATTATAAAAAACCAGTGCCACTACCTGCGAATAAATATATTTCATTATTAATGGATTGGATTGAAACACAGATCAATAATGAATCATTATTTCCAACAAAAAGTGATGTTCCATTTCCGAAAACATTTTTACCAACTTGTAAGAAAATTCTTGCTCGTCTATTCCGTGTATTTGTACATGTCTATATACATCATTTTGATCGATTGATGGCCGTCGGTGCTGAAGCTCATTGTAATACTTGTTATAAACATTTTTATTATTTTGTCAAAGAATTTGATCTTGTCAATGCTAAAGAATTTGAACCATTGGTAAGTTTCTTTTATTTTTATTATATTTATTTATTTTTTAAAATTGAAAAATTTCTCTTTATTAGGCCGATATGACACGAAGATTATGCGATACAAGCCGTGGATTATTACAGATTAATATGCTCAGTGGTAGCGGTGGTGGTGGTGGTGGTGTGGCAATAACGGTGATTATGGATCACATCATAATCATCACCATCATCATCATCATCATCAACAACAACAACAACAACAACAACATCATAATAATGATAAACATCATAGTAACAGTAGTAGTAATAGTAATGAAAAAAATGTCTGATAACACCCACGCACCCACACACACACACACTAAGTTTTATTCGCCCTTTTGTATATTTATAATTGAGATTGCAAACTTTTTATTTTTTGTCCAACAAAAAACCAATTAACCATCCCGATGATTATGATGTGTGTCTAGCCTCTTTTTGGTTTTCATCCATTCAATTTGTTCAATTTTCTCCACCATAATATTATTTGTAATTTGTATAAAAATAAATACTTTTTGGAATTTTTTTTTCTCAAACATCCATCCATGAACTATACACACACACACACACACACACATTACATCATTAATTATTGAATTTTTATCGATTTTGATTAAAATATTATTTTTTTCGAATCATTACATTTGTTTCTTTGTAAAAAATGTTATGATAATGAATAAAAGAACAAATGTTTTAAATTAATTTTTTTTTTTTAACTTGAAAAATTTAAATTTATTGATCACTAGATGGCAGCAGCAGTTGTTATGTACGGCAACAGTTAGGAATTTTTTTATTTTAATCAATCAACATCCAATAAATCATTAGTTGGATTATCACCATCACTAAAATTGATTCCTTCCAATATCGAAGCAGTGATCAATTCATGTCGTACAAATTCTATAAGATGATCAAGGCCATCGATCAATACAAACACAGCATATACGCCCAATGGTACGAATAATTGATCCAATATATTGAGCTTGTTATTGTTTGTAGATAAGAATCGAAAGAAAAGATCAAAGTCATAAATTATCATGTGTCATTCAATCAACAAACAACAACAACAAATCAATTAAACTTACCTTTTCCAAACGATTCTGTAATATATGAAACGTTTCTAATGGACCAAAAACTTGTAACATAAATTGATGAATTTGAATATCGAATAAATCATAAATCGATTTACAAATCCACCAACGTGTACGTAAAGGATATAATGGATCATATGATGATGCTAATGATGGAGACTGCATTTATAATCTGATTATTTAAATCTATTACAAATTATTATATCGATTCTCTTTTCTCAAAAAAAATTTTTTTTGACAATCGATTAATCGATCGAATTCATTTAACCAAATCGATTGTACATTGTTGATTGATTGATACTCTAAAAAAAAATTTAAATTTTAATTGATTTTTTTTCTGTTGTTGTTTAACTTTAAAATTAATTTTGTTTTTGCTATTTGATAATAATCAATCAATCGAATATATATGGTATGGTGTGTGTGTGTGTGTGAACAATGGGAAAAAACCGGATTTTTTTTTTTTTTTTTTGATTCAATCTGGTAAATATTAGATGATGATGATAATAATACTATCAATCAATCTCTCATTCTATATTAGTATTAGTAGTACATATACATATTTAATTTGTTATAATCAATATTAATTAATTAGCATTATCAAATCAAAAATGAATTGTGATTGTGTGTGCATTGATATATTTCGTGAAAGTAATTTTTTTTTCCAAAATATTATTGTAGTAATTGATTTTTGTTTGTTGTATATGCCCAGAATTTTGTTTATATTGTTGCTGTTGTTGTTATTAAAAAACAAATGAATAAATTCAAATGGAGAATGCAAATCAAAGCAAATGATGAATGTTGTTGGTTATGATAGACGAAATAGAAGATAAGAACAATAAACGATTAAATTTTCTTGGATGTTTGGTGAATGTGTGAAAAGGTGTTTAAAATGATAATAAAAATAATAATAAAACTACCAGAAATTCACCCAAGAATGATGGTGTCAACAAATTGTTTTTTTTTTTCGAAATCGATTAGGCGCAATTACATTATGGCACAATTTTGATTATTTTCCACATTATTCTATCGATAATAAAAGAAGTAATGAGATTTAGAATTTTTTTTTGTTATATATAGAGACAAAAATAAATACCTCATTGTTAAGATAACCCGATGACATTCGTTGAAATGATGATGTAATTCGTTTTTCAGTTTTACGTGATGCAACTTCCTATATTGAAAAATTGATTTATCATTTGTATTTTTTTTAGATTTAAAATTCTTTAAAATATCATCATTATGAAAACACATACCTCATTATTATTATTAAATAATGTTGTTGACATTGTATCAGCAGTGAACCATGTTTGTGATTTCATTACAATATCCGATGGTGGATTATGTATCTGTGTACCGGCATCTGAACTCCATATGGTTATTGTTGATTGTGGTTTAATAACAATTGAACGATGAAATTTATAACGAGTTTCGAGGTCATCCGCTCGTCGTAATAGATACCAACCGCTTAGCGATATTTCTTTATCGCTTTTATTAAAAAGACGAACATATTTTCCTTCAACATCATGATCGGATATTTCCACTTCACCTTTAGCCGTTGCATTTACAACCCAATCAATAATTGATTCTTGATCTTGTAATGCGATTCGTTTGCGTTTAGTACCACGTGGAATAAATGAACGTGATGATGAACTAATTGCTTGTGAACTGAATAGTCCTCCACCACCACCACCACCACCAGAGGCACTTACACTGCCACCACCACTAGCACTACCCAAACTACTTAATGAAATATTTAATCGTGTTTCTTCACCTTCCAATAATTTTCGATACACTTCTAATTCTGCATCCAATTTGATTTTATCATCCAAAAGATCATTATAATCATCGGTAATTCGTTGTAATTCACGTCGTATCTCTTCCATTTCTTTATCCTTTTCATTCATTTTGATCTTATTCCAATCACGTTCCTGTGACAATAATTTGTTCATATCTTCCAAACGTTTTTTCATTGATGTATTCTCATTTTTCAATGTTTCCAATTCACTATCAAACATTGTATAGGATGAATTCAATTGTTTGATCTTATTAGCAGCGTTATTTAATTCGGAATTTTTTTTAGCCATTTCTTCTTGCAACATTCCTATACGTAGCTCATATCGTTCTTCAAGATCATGGCGATTAAGACGAATCATATCGTCCATGTTTGCACGTAATTCATCCAATTCATATTTCAATCGTTCCTCATATTGTGCTTTCAATTCTTCTGTATGTATCTCTTTTGATTCAAATGTTTTTTGTCGTATCTCTTCCATTTCATTCTGGAATAATTGACGTTGGAAGGCTAATTCTTCATTTAAACTTTGATTACGATTTTCAAGATCAACACGTAATATTGTTTCCTCTTCCAGCTGTTTCTGTACGCTTTTTAATCGTCCTTCTAGATTTTTATTCTCTTCGGCCAATGTCCGAAGTTCACCTTCTAAACGTTTACGTTCTGCTAATGCTTGTGCAATTTTACTTTTCAATTCTTCAATCTGTATTTCCAGTGCTTGATTACGTTTCTCTAAGCCACTTGCTTCGTTCATCTTTTTGGCTAGCCTAAAGAAAAATTAATTAATTCACAAGGCTAATTAATTGTAAAAAAAACTTACTTAGCTTCAGCAACTTTCAATTCCTCACGTAAACGGCTCAATTCCAATTCTAATTGTGCTTTTTCTTTTGCAATCGAATCCAATGTTTGTCGTGTGTCATGTAATTCAACTTCATACATTGTTTTAATCGTATGAATTTCACGACTTTCCATCGATTTCTGGATTTGAATTCGAAGTTTTGAATTTTCCGTTTCCAATGAACGAACACGTTCAATATAGGCAGCAAGACGATCATTGAGACTTTGTAGTTCATTTTTTTCCTGTATCCGAGATAGTCGACCCGGTGATACCGGACGCGTTGGTGTTTGTGATCGTCTTAATGGTGTACCGGCACGTGTTGAACTAGCTGTTGTTTGGCCAGTACCACCAGATATTTCAATCGAGGTAGTCGGTGCTGATTGTTGTTGTGATGATGACACTGTTGATGATGTGGTGGTTGTTTTTTTCGATTTAGTAGCCATGTTGTTTGTGATGTTTTATCCAAGAAAAAAAAATGACGATGAAATTGAATGATGGGAATTTTGAAACAAGAGATTCACGAAATATGTAATTCAAATCAGATGGAAAAATAAATACTGCAGTAAATATAATTGATTAATTAATAGTTTTTGATTGGATTCAATTGGTCTCGCGTGTCGCTGGTTATCAATAAAAATCGATTGATGATAATCAAATAGAGAGAAAAAAATCTGCCAACACACGGCCCATTGAAATGAGTACAGTCAACAAAAGGCTCTAGTGAATGATAACATATCAAGAAAAATATAGAGGTTAGAGGTCGATCGAGATGAGAGTTAAGATGGCTGGAATACATGCACATACACACACAGACCAAAAAGCGGGGAATTCTGATTCAATGGTTTTTTGTGGACTTCAACTTTAACCACACACACACACACACACCACGCTAGCTTTTAGACAATATATATTTGCGCCTGCTGTTATGGTGGTGTCGCTTTGAATCAAAAAAAAAAAAAAAAAAAATAGCAAACAAAAAAATGATGTTCAACGTTGGTTAATGATAATTGTTTTTTTGGTTGAGAACCAGCGTGGTTGACGATAGTTATGATGAAGATGATGATGATTATGGTAGTGGTAACCGGTGTATATGGATGTTATGTTTTGTGTAGATGGCGGGAATATACACCAAAAAAAAAACTTGGGTGGATTCTTTTTATGATGATGATGATGATTATATGATATGATCAAAAAAGATGCTGATGGCAATTTAGTGATGTGATAAGAACCTTAACATTGTACACAATGATTCACGATTATGAACAAAGGTTTTTTTTATTATTTGAATAAAAAAAAAAACGGAAAATTCACACTTGAAAAAAACTTGAAATTATTAAAATGAATGCCAAGAATGACAAAAAAAAAGATTCAATTCATTCACTTGTGTTTTTCATATGCTCAACATAATCACATTTACTTTGTTCATCAAAATATAAAAATCATCATCAACTTGATTAAAATCCACAAAACTCTTGATCTCTAAAAAAAAAAAAAAATCTATTCTGTTGTTTGATGGCCAATTCGATAACCTTGATTGATTTGATTTGATTTGATTTTGGATTGAATCGTCGAGACAGATGCCAAAAGCTATTATAGGTAATTATGGTTGTCAAGAACCACTTTTTTTTCTCTCTCTCTCTCTCAATTCTTTGTCGTTATCATAATCGTGAACATTGATTGATTTTTGGTTTATTGGCAAAAAAAACTCATCAATTGTTGCAGCAACCAACCAACCAAACACACACACAGACGTAAACATTTGCCGGGAGATATTCATAAATATGGTTCTATTGTCAGGATTATTCATTGATTAATACCACTCCCAATTAATTTGTATGCGTTTGAAAAAAAAACAGATTGCTAATAAAGTAGCAGCAGTAGCTAAAGCAACAGTCTGTTGCATTCATGCATATATGCATCATGAAGCCAAATATTAGAAAATTTGAAGCCACACCTTTTTTTCATATAATTATAAACTACATATTTATATTTCATGAATAATATCAAAAGATGTCGCCATAATCGATGTACCGGAAAAAATGTATAAAAAAAAAATTTAATAAACAATTTTCTAAATCTTCATTTCGAATTTTTTTTTTAAAAAAATAATTTTGATTTTGATTATTCATTATTTCTTTCAATTTTTAACCAATCATTCATCGTCATCAAGTATATTGTTTTGCATATGGTTGTTGTTATTAATTGTTATTGTTGTATTATATATTGACATTACAATCGAACCGAATCAATTATTTGATTTATGATTGTATTGTTATTTTATATCCTGATATAATAAATAGATAAATTCAAAAAGTGCACTTTTGTTTTTCTCTTTTCTTCTCCTTCCCCATATATCATTTTATTATTAACCATATATTTTTTGCATTTTGAAAAACAAAACAAAACGAACCATATCAAATTTGTAATCAGAAAAATGGTACGTCATATTTGAGATGTTTGTCGGCTGTTGTCTGGTTATTATTCTCATTGCAATTTGTTGTATAAAATGATCGAACAATTCAGCATTAGACATCATATTGAACCGGCAATCGTTTTCATCATTGATCATTCACTTGATCGATCATTAATCATTGATTCAAATAATTAATTTTCTATACAGAAATTTGTTATATAACGTTTTTTTTGTTGTTGTTGTTGTTTCAAGTTTTGGTTAATGATTTTTCAGTCAATCAATAATCAATAAAATATGTCTATTAATTCTAATAATGAATCGCAACAACAAATTTCAATTGTATGGCGTAATCTTTCGTATCATCATCATAATCCATTGATTTTGAATGATAAAAAATCTTCGATTCTACAATGTTTAAATGGTCATCTTCGTTATTATACATTGAACGGGCTTCTTGGACCAAGTGGTTCTGGTAAAACAACCCTATTAAAATGTCTTTCCGGTTTATTGAAATCTGGCCTAAGTGTTCATACGGAACTCTATCTGAATGCATCGGAATCGAAACGTTTGACAACATTACGTTTTATTGGTCAAAATATGAATGACAGCATTTATACAAGAATGACAATTCGACAGATTTTATCATATGCATTTCGTTTTAAAAATGATCGTTCACATCTATATGATATTGATTCACATATATCAATCATAATGAATGATTTATTAATGGATGAAACGATTCTGGATCGACGATTTGATCAATGTTCCGGTGGTGAACAACATCGTATCATTATTGCACAGGAATTAATGTCACTTACGCAACCAACATTTTTATTCATCGATGAACCAACTACTGGATTAGATAGTAATGCTGCATTATTGATAATGAAATGTTTATGGCGATTAGCTCATCATAATCGTATGACAATATTCGTATCGATTCATACACCAAATACGGATATTATGACATTGTTTGATAAGATTTATATTCTTGCCACAGGTGGTTTGTGTATCTATTCAGATTCACCGGAATTTTTGGATGAAAAAATCGCTACCGATCAAGCAAAAATTAGTAATCAACAACCATCATCATTATTATCACCAATTGAACGATTCATTCAAATAGCCTGTGATGGTATCGATAATCCAATAATACAAAAATGGACAAAATTAACATTGGAAAAAGAAAATGAACAATTTAACCGAATTATGATGACTGATGATGATAATAATCGGCTCAAATTTCAACATAAAGGCATTGTTATCCAACAGAAATCATTTCGATTCAAAGATCTTTACATACAATTACGTCGAATGTTCAGTATTGTATTTATGATCGAATGGCAAAATCTTCTATCAATTATGTTATTCTATATGATCGTTTTTCCATTTATTGCATCATTTTTCGATGAAAAAATTGTACAATATGATGGTTGTATGGATGATGATAATGATGAACTCAATGAATCAACAATCAACAGTAATCAAACCTGTATGGAACGTTTACAGAATGAAATCAATACGAATGAATATATGATATATCTTTGGTATTGTCAAAGTATATCTGGATATTCAATAATGATGTTAAGTACAATATCGATTACATCAATGTTTCACGTGTTTCGCAATGAACATCAAAATCGTAAGTGCAAAAAATTCAATCCCTTCAAGTGCATATTTTTCTAATATAATTTCTAAATATATAGAATGGTATCATTTCGGTGTATTATTCACATCGATAACCTCAATAACATTTATACAACTTGGTCTGTTATCATCGCTAATTGGTATAATGATCTATTTCAGTGTTGATCATAGTTATGTTGATCAACATCATCAATTAAACTGGTATAGACTCGTACATTTTATCTGTTTCATTTGGCTAAATAATATCTACCTACAAAGTTTTGGTCATCTATGGAGCATAATATTTTCCGGTAAATCAGAATTGGCAATCATAGTGGGAATGTTTTTCTTTCAATCAACATTTCTATTCAGTGGATTTATGATTAATCTGAATCGAATATCGGCGATGAAAATATTTTCCAATCTATTCCCAGTGAAAATTATTTCAAATGGATTAATGTATTCATTTTATGGCCTAAATCGTTGCCATAAATCATCAATTCTCGATGATTTTGATGTCAACATTGATCATGTTTACAGTGATGTTTACCTTATCATTGTACATTGTTTATTGACACGTTTTATTACCTATATGATAATGTTGATGAAATTTATTGGTTCGAATATTTTTTGTTGGCCAAAAAAATTCTCACCATTCACTGATATTATCCATATCATTAATCATCATCATCATGATAATCGGAATGCCAATGATATGACGACTGAAATGATAAAAATCAATAATTCATCAAAAGAATTGAAAAAAATCAAGAAAAATCAAGATAACGAAAAGATTATAATTGCATGGCGTTCGATTCATTTATTTGCATCCAGTTCATTGTATGAAATACGTTCAATCAACAATATTGATAATCATAATATGAAAAAATGTTAATATTGAAAAATTTAAATGGACAATTTCGATTCGGTACATTGAATGCTGTGATGGGACCATCTGGTTCGGGTAAAACTTCATTGCTTAAAATTTTAAATGGTCAATGGAAAACACGTCTAAGTTATGAAAGTAAATTTTATCTAAATCGATTTCAACCAATCAAAGGATGTTATCTACAACAAGATGTTTCTGGTCATCTTATGTCCGGTCTGACGGCCAGACAAACATTAGTATATGCATCACGATTGAAGAATTTGATTCAATTGAAAAAAATTGATCATGAAGCTATAGCCGATAAAATTCTTAATGAATTATCAATTATACAGACAGCCAATATAGCCGTACAGAATTGTTCGAATGGTGAACGTAAACGTTTAGCATTAGGTATGGAAATGACATCCATAATGATGCCTAATTTAATCTGTATCGATGAACCAACAAGTGGTTTGGATTCAAATTCTACCGAAATTGTTATCGCTTGTCTTCGAAGGATTGCATACGATCATAATGTAGCAATTGTAGCTGCCGTTCATCAACCACAAACAGAAATATTTACAATTTTCGATGAAGTATACGTATTAGCCAAAGATGGTGTGTGCGTTTATTCTGGACGACCAAATGCAATTGTCAACCATTTATCAAAGGTATTGAATTTTGATTCAAAATTGAATCATCATCATCATAATCAATTTTCACCAATCGAACAACTTATCAATTATTGTTCATTAGAAATGACAGATTCAATTGTACAAAAAATGGTCAATATTACCGATGATCATATCATTAAAAATGCTGAAATACAAATTCCAAAACAATTACAATTAATAATTGATGGTATCCAAAGAAATCGCGAAAGATTTTCATTAAAATCATCATGGATATTATTACAACGTTATATACATAATCCATTGTTTAAATGGACAATAATAATGTCAATATTTCCAATAATACTCATTGTATTATTACGACAGTTTTATCCAGATCGAATTGCCAGACAAAATGGTTGTTTTAATTTTATTGAAGAAGATTTCAACAATACAATTTGTGATGATGAACCAAACGGATGGAAAACGATGAATAAAGATCTGTTGGATAATACACGTTTTACAATATATATGACCTTTATTTTTCTTACCTGGATTCTAATACCGGCTAGTATTCTATTTACACGTGAAATGATATTATTCCATAATGAACATCGAAATGGTTTGTCCAGAAAGATTTTTTTTCTTTAAAATTAAAATTTTATTTTAAATTTTGTAATATATAGGTTGGTATAGTACCGGTGCATTTTATTTGATGAAATCAATGGCCGAATTTCTGCCAATGTTCATTACAACCATTGTATTTGTTGTTTACATTGCCAATATCTATGAATCATCGATTCATTTTAATGGCCTGTATTTCTGGATGATTTTATTGTTCATTTTTGGTTCATTAGCAATGCAAGGAATGGGCCATTCATTAGCCATTATAACGAATGGAAATTTTTTTGCATTAATAACCATATTACCTGGTTGGATGACATTATTATTTTTATTATCAAATTTTGCATCACCAATTCAACGATTAAATTATTTATATCAATTTTTATCCAATTTATCACCATATCGTTTTGTATTGGAAGCATTATTGATACTTCAATATGGATTTGAACGTTGTCAATCGAATGAAATTCCTATTGTACTTTATCAAATGATGGCAATCAATAATCCATATGATCAACATTTTTATCATTGTATTCGACAATTAATATTCAATATTTTTTTCTATCGTTTATTGGCCATAATAATGTTGATAATAAGAACAGAACCATTCGATGATTATCATCGTAAACGTTGTGAAAAAATTCATCGACAAATGTTACCACAATTATAATCATCATCATTGAATTGAATTGAATTGAATTTTTTTTAAATAATAAATAAACTAAGATTTTCAGATGACAGATGGCGTTCTAAGCGTTGTTTTTGAAATCAAAAAAGTGAAAATTCATTTGTGAAAACCGAATGTCCTTCGAATTTTTTTTATGAATAAATCGCCAATTCATATGGCTACGAATAACCAAACGCCAACGTACCTATGATATATTTCTAATAATCTTAAAAAACTATATATTGACTACGAATAAACAACATAAAATTTCTCATCATTATCATTGAATCAAATCGATATTTCCAATATCATTCGACTATTGAATTTATTTATATCAAAATGTAATGAAAAAAAAATTATCAATTAACATCAAATAATTAGCACAACAACAAAAGTACAATTTGTTATATGATGATATTTAGTTATTTTACGACCTGTTGACATTTATGTCAAACTTTAATGAAAAAATTTTATAATACTAGATGTATAATACTATTGTTTGGCCAAACACACACGCACACACACCATTTCGCTATTAATTTTTATGATGATTGTTTTGTATGGCCATCACCATCACCATAATCATTGTTGTTATTGTTGTTTTGGCCAAACAAAAATTTGGCCACAATAAACAACTTTTTGTATGGATCCTGTTTTTTTCATCACAGTCATCGTTGTCCAATGATTCAATTCGAAACAATTCTCATTGCATCTACAATCATCATCATCATTCCGAAGATTTTTGCTGTTGTTGTTGTTGAAGCCAGTTTGGTGTGTTTGATGATAGAATAGTGGTGGCGGTGATGGTGGTGGTGGTGGTGGTGGTGGTGGTAATTTTGAATAGTAAATGGTGAGCAGCACATAGATTTTCTAAATGTCTGTATTCAGAAAAAAAAAAAGTCTTCGACAATTATTATATCGATGAAATGTAGACTCAACACACACACACACACAACACACGGCAAAAAAAAAATTTTTAACGGCGCGCCGACTAAAAAAACAAAATTTTCTTGTGTTTAAAACATTCATTCATTCAGAGAACAATTATTTGAAAAATGAATGAAACAATCAACAATAGTCGACGTTGCCAATATTTTATTGATTGATTGATTGCCGTTCATTGTTTTTGTGTGTGTGTGTGTGTATTGAAGCCATACATTCTCATTGAACTGATCATCAGTAATGTGTGTGTGTGTGTGTGTATTTACGGAAAATTCAATTCATTTGACTATTATTAAACAAACAGAAAAAATAATGATCCGATAAACTCATCAAAACTATATATCATTTTGATCAATTTTTATTTTTGAAATCAAATAAATAACAAGTAAGTTTTAAAAATTTTAAAATTTTTTTCTACAGAATAAAATACGTTATATATTCTCCAATCTATTCAGCAACATTAACATTGAAATTTCAATGTTTCAAAATGTTTTTCAAAAAAAAAAAAAAAAAAAATTAAATTGCTAGTTTGTTGTTGTTGTTGTTGTTTTGGACAATGTGTGTGTGTGTGTATAATTTTGATGACGATAATCACTGCGAAAAAAAACCAGTTAAATCCTTGTTTATAATTGTCATTGATGATTTCTTTAAATCCTCATTTCGTTTTTTTATCGAAATTTTTCCTATATCATAGCTGTGGTTGTTGTTGTTGTTTTGTGATTGTCCAATCTCTCCACATGTCTGAATCTCAATTTATAATTTGATTACAGCGATGATAATCATTATTATTTTTTTTTTATTGTTGAATGAATCAATCATTTCTTTTCGTTTTTTTTTCATTCTTTTGTTTATGATACATGATGATGGAAGCAATAATTTGTTATCATTATTTCATTCATCCATTTTAATTTCAAAAATGTTTCGCCTATTGAGCCGGGAAAAAGAGAATTGATTCAGGCCAATTGATTCGACATTCAACATTCGCTCTCTCTCTCTCTCTCTTTACTGGTTTTCAATATATCTATATTGCATTCAAATTTGAATGATTCATTCATTCATCCCATCATTTGTTGATTTCATTTCATTTTTTTTTTTTCATTGATTAATTTTCAATTCGTTTTTTTTCGTGTTTATAATTCGTGTCATTTACTTGATTTGTTTCTCACCGTCATCTTTCTCCGTTTATATGTGTTTGTCTATTTGCATGCATGCCAAACTAGAAAACCAAAACAGAAATTCATCTTTGAAATTCTAAAACGGTTGCCAATATCAACCAAAAATAACTGAATTTCTGTTTTGTTAGTGTTTCATTTCGTTAGATTTGGTTGATAGAATTTTATTCATTTGCCTTCATTTCTATCAACAGATCAGATATTTTTTTTCTCTCATTTAATCACAACAATTTTTTTTTTTTCATCAAGGTAATTAACAGCAAACAACAGTAATTAAAATCTTGTTTTTAATTGTGGTTTTATCATTCAAGAACAAGAAAATAAGAGAAAAGATCAAGATCAAAAATCATTCAAGTGTGTTTATGTGTGTATTGATCATTTATCCAAAATATATTCATTGAGAAAAGAAAAGAGAGGTAAGCCATTGCCAGATAATCCATAATGAATCATTTTTGTCTAATTATAATATCGATAAATAAATGAATGAATGAATCTGCATCAAGGGTCAATCAATCGAATTAGATTTTCAAAAATTATTTTTTTTTTTCAACCTTCAAAACACAAACACAACGAAGACGATCAACACTGCACAGTGTCAATCAAAAAAAAAAAAAAAAAATCGGTGTTTTTTTTTCATTCAACAATATTAAATGTGGTGACAATGTGTGCGTGTTCAAGTGTGTGTGTGTGACATTGTTGCTAACAACAATTTGATCGATTTTTTTTTCTGAGAATTAGAAAATTTACCTTGAAAAAAAACAGCAACTAACAAACGAGAAAAAGGAAAGGACTTTTCTGCTGCTGCTGATGTTGTTGTTGGTGGTGGTGGTGGTGGTCGTCGTCGTCGTCGTCATCGTCGCACAATTATTATTATTTATTGGTCTTGTAGAAAATGATTTTCATTTTTCGACGTAATGACCATCATCATCATCATTATAATAATAGGGAAAAAAAATTTTCGGTTTCAATGATTTTTCTGTCTTTTTTTTTGATTATATAATTGACAACAACAATAGCATGATGATATTCATGCAATTCAATGTAAAATAGAGATGAAATTTTTTTTTTGGTAACCTTAAATCTGGAAATGTTTGACATATATAATGCCTATGATGATGAGATGATATAATAATGATGATGATGTCATCGAAATTATTATTATTTTTTTTTCATTTTAAATTTTGATTCGATTTGATTTTACAACAAATTCGAATCATAGTGGTATTTAAGAAAATTTTTTGCGGAAAATTTCATTTGGGTTTTTTCCCTCTTTTTATTATCCATATTGCACGTGCAATGATGACACATTCAATCATTGGATTTGTCATTCATTTTATACAATAGATTTCAATCTCTCACTCTCTCTCTCTCACTGACCAATTGAGATTACCTAACATAATTATTTTTATTTATATTTGTGAAGGACATTTGTAGATTCATTCATTCATTTATATATATCAATATATATCGATTGTGTTTGACCATTTTCTATTTTTGTGTTTTGAATCATTTTTGTTTTTCTTTTCTTTTCTCTTTCGTTTTAGTTTGTTTTGTTTTGTTTTGTTTTGTTTTGTTTGTTTGTTTGCCAGGATAAAATAGAATTCTCCTTTTAGCACAATTTTATTGCTTCTTGAAATTTAATTTTTTTTTGGCCCTCCCATCACCAATTTCAATCCAATTCATTCATTTGGCCATCTCATAAGCCATTTTCAATGTATTCAAATAATCAAATTGTTTCGACCATTCTTATCGACAATATTCAAATGGACAACAACAACGACAAAACGTGATCATTTCTTTCTAAAACAATTTCCTAACATCGTATCATCATCAACATCATTATTGTTGTTTATTGTTTCCGACAGCCATGGCTTTCATTATTCTTGATTTGTACAATTTCTTCTGGTGTAATAAGATTTTTCTTCATACAACGGTAAGGTTTCCATGTAGCCTTCACATAATTAATATTCTCTTTACAGTCTATCGAATGGAATATTATTGGAGATTGGTAATCATTTATTGGATCAAACGTAATGTCTCTAATGCATTTGGATTCTCTATTGATGACCGCATACTTGGGACCAGAATATTTTGTGAAGCACCAATTTTCTTTATTCGTCTGATCCGGAGCCATGATATGGAATGGATCAGCCCGTATAATATCATATTTTGGATCTATTTTCACCGTATTAACATTCAGTTGTAAACGACTTTCTAACGGCGATTCCATAGATCTAAAATAACACTTCTCAAAATGCCATAAATCAAAAGGACAATGTTCACAAATGGAGATGTTGGGAAACAACTGTTGAAATGATAACGGCATTGGAGAATCTACCACAAATGCTTCATTGATGATCTGTTCAGCCTGAAGAAATCTGGCACTAAGTATGGATGTCAAAAATCGATTCTCGGAGACATGTTTTATTTGATCTATTTGATGTTGAATATTAATCAATTCATGAACAACCTTCTCATGAATCTGTTGATCTAATTTCTTGATTTCTATCTCTGTCAATGACTGATCAGAGATTCCATTCTGACTTTTGATGTATGAGCCAAACATTACAGCTGCTATGACGATGATCGATGTAAACACTACACCGGACACAAATGACACAATATCACGTCGAGATTTAGATGAGCTTTGAAAAGGTGCACACTTTTTATACATCGTTTCTTTGACCAACTTGTTATATAACTTTTCACACGTATCCTTTTCGAATTTATAGTTGAAACCGCTGGTGATGTTATTTGGATTCAGCAACGACGATTTAATCACCTCACATGGTGGTTTGAGATGAATGTCAATTTGTGCATTTACATAGTCAGTAGCAACTCGATGTTTTGACCTTCTCCAAATTAACGGGAATACTGGTGAATTCAACTGTGACTTTATGAGGACGGGGGAAAATATAATGCTGATTACATTGATGCAGCAGAATATTTTAATGTGTTTATGATGCATATTCGGTTACGATGTTCACTATAGATGATTTGATTGATGAAAATTTATGTTTAATATTCACTATAACTGTTTATGATGTAATTTTCAGTTTTATTGTTTTGGGACGTAGTTTTATTCATACAATGGTAGATTTTATGATGGCGAATATCTGATTTGTCGATGACGATTACGTTGACTTCGTCGTGAACTAATCTGGTTAGTAATTGAAGTTGATGTTGATGAGTAAATTTGTGATACAGGTGTTGAATCTACATCAGAATTTCTTGCTATCATATTCTCTTCTAACTCTGATTGCTCATGCTGTATGTTTTGCTCTTCTTCATCAGATTCTTCTGGAACTAACACTCGATTATTTGTATTTGCCGATTTAAGATTTTCAATGTGAACAATAACTTCATGATTATCAACTGATATTCCATACACTACTGAAGAGTATCGTGTAATAATTTCAAATGGACCTTCATATCTAGGATCTAACTTTCTCCTATTCAATTCATCTGCAATCTTAGCAAAAACCCAATCACCTGGCTCAAACTGTCTATTAATTCTTCTTCGATCATAATATCTTTTGTTACGATTATGATCCTGACATGATCGTTCATATGCCATGCTTCTTGCCTCATCCAGATCCTCTCCTTCATAATATTCATCTGGATCATCACCTTTCAATAGAAAACTTGGAGCATACCGAGTCACGGTATGAATGGTTGAATTATATTCAACTAAAGTTTCCATAGCAAGTCTTGCCCAAGATCTGTTTGGCATTGATAGTCTTTTGCATCTCAATCTTTCAACCACAGTTTGAACAAATCTTTCAATCATACCATTACTTGATGGATGTGTAACAGGGATGTAAATAATTTGAGTATGATTTGCTAATAAGAATTCCCTAAAGCTAGAGGAATTCAACGCAGGATACCGATCGCAAACAATATAATGTGGATGTCCATCTTGAGAAATTTTATCATATAGTTGTCGGAAATCATTTACGTTTTGGGTTTTTGATGTTATGCCCCAAACGTATCTAGAAAATGAATCGATTGCTACATGGAAATATCTTAACTGAGAGAATGCCTCTCTAAAACCACCAATAGTATCGATATGAATAAAACTAAATGGTTCTACTGCCGGGCCAAGTTGATGAAGTAATCCCAACTTCCTTCTAGGTTTCTTAGCTTGTAAACAAATTTCACATTGTTGAATACAGTTTTGAATAAACTTGTTTTGATTGGAATTGTAATATTTTTGTGAGAAATGAAGAGCAGTTTGTTTTTGACCAATATGTCCTTGTTCCTCATGATATTTCCTAACAATTTCAATTGCTATATTATCTGGTAGATAATACCGCCTTCTATTACCCGTATATTTAACATAACACCCATTAAACAATACACACCCTGGAGGTATAGCCGGAATATTAGCATGAATCTCAGAAATCTCCTGAAGAGTTAACAAATTTACCTCAAAGTCAGGATTTCTGGATAAGAAATCTGCTTCTACATTTTCACTCCCTGGAACATATTCAATTTTGAAATTATATTGACTAAGCCTTAAAGCCCAATTCAAGATTCTCGTGTTGGGTTTTGAGATAGAGTTGATATACTTCAATGGCTTATGATCAGTTCGAATTGTGAATTCTTTTCCATACAGATAGTGATGCCAGTAAGCAATTGACTCAACAATTGCCAAGCATTCCTTTTCTGTCGCAGAATAATTAACTTGGTAAGGTAATAATTTTCGTGAGAAATATCCCACTGTAACCATATCTTGATCATCATCTAATTCAGTATCTTTTTGTTTAAGGACAGCTCCGATACCAACATTAGAAGCATCTGTAATTAGAATTACAGCTTTTGATGGATCAAAGATGTGTAATACAAGATCAGATGATAAAACTTCAATTACTTTATTAAATGCTGTTTCAGCTAATGCTGTCCATTTGAAGGCCTGATCTTTCTTCAACAATTGATATAATGGTGTTAACAATTCCGTTTTATTTGGAATGAATCGTTGATAGAACCCAATTTTACCAAGAAACCTTCTAAGAGATTTAAGATCTTTAGGTGGAGGAAAATCGACAATTGCTTGTTTATTACTTTTAAGAGGTCTTATTGTATTGAACGATATTTGATGTCCTAAATAACAAACTTCTGGTAAACCAAATTTACATTTAGAAAATTTTAAAATGATATTATTATCCTTTAGGACTGCAAATAACCTTTTTAAATGTTCCATATGTTGATTATAATTTTCTGAAAACACGATTATATCATCAATATAATTATGCGAAAAATTCGTCAACCTGTTATGTTTCAGGATATTGTATACTATTCTTTGAAAAATTGCCGGTGCATTCTTTAAACCAAATGGCATAACATTCCATTCAAAATGTTCAGTCATGGTAGAAAATGCAGTTTTGTACTTGTCACTTTCCTCAATAGGAATATGATGAAAGCCAGAGGCAATATCAAAGGTAGAGAAAATTGTTGAATTTAACATACGATCTTCAATATCCTGTATCAAAGGCATTGGATAACACTCTGTTATGGTAATATCATTCAATTTCCTATAATCTACACAAAGCCTGGTCTTTTTACCATCATCCTTTTTATCGACTAAAACCACCGGAAAAGAATAATTTGATTTAGATGGTCTGATCAATTCTTTCTCGAGTAACAGTTTAACCTGATCATCAACTCTTTTTTGATCTACTTGAGATATTCTGTACGGTCTTAAATTAATTGGTACTTCATTCAGCAAGTTAATTCGGCAGGTGTCTGTGCGAATTGAACCAATTTCACCAGAATTCGTGAATACTGTTCTAAATTTCCTTATCACCTCTTTCAATGGACCTTTAATTTGGGAAAAGTCTTGTAACTCTATTACATTGGCAGAAGAAGTTGTTGGTTTAATTTTTATCAATATATATCGATTGTGTTTGACCATTTTCTATTTTTGTGTTTTGAATCATTTTTGTTTTTCTTTTCTTTTCTCTTTCGTTTTAGTTTGTTTTGTTTTGTTTTGTTTGATTTGTTTGTTTGTTTGCCAGGATAAAATAGAATTCTCCTTTTAGCACAATTTTATTGCTTCTTGAAATTTAATTTTTTTTTGGCCCTCCCATCACCAATTTCAATCCAATTCATTCATTTGGCCATCTCATAAGCCATTTTCAATGTATTCAAATAATCAAATCGACCATTCTTATCGACAATATTCAAATGGACAACAACAACGACAAAACGTGATCATTTCTTTTGCATCGTATCATCATCAACATCATTATTGTTGTTTATTGTTTCCGACAGCCATGGCTTTCATTAAGACAATGTTAGTTACCATAGTTTTGGCCACATTCATTTTAATGAATTCATTTATGACCATCGAAGCATATAGTAGTGGTGCACCAAATAATCAAAAAGTTTGTACAACAATGATACCGGGTCATGGTAGCCGACAGAATACACCGGCACCATATAAATTAACCACGAATATAATAAATGATCGTCGACATTCACAGCAAATAATCTCCATTGAACTTCAGGCAACAGCACATGTTACATTTGCCGGCTTTATTGTACAAGCACTACGAAATCATCTTGGCGATGATGTTGATAATCAAATAATTGATGATGGATATTTCGAACGTTTGACAAACAACACAATAACGAAAAGTTGTTTATCACATGTACATGTAAGTTTTTTGAAAACACATTTCAACAATCTAATCTGTTATTGTTGAATTTCACACATTTCATGTTTTAATAATCATTTTTAATCTGACAGAATACATGGACACATTCAGATGGTGAACCAAAAACCCGTGTATTAGCAAGATGGATACCATATAGTCAAACATTTAATGGTAGCCTTTATTTTCAAGCAACTGTTGTACAAGTAAAACAAGCTTATTGGAATGAAATTCGTTCTGAACCAATCTATTTCTATCGTGGCCACAGTACAGATGAATCAATGTATTCGAAATTGATCGATAATCAACCAATTGATCAGCCAATGTCTGGCGCAAAAATGCAATCATTCGATATTGATTATGATCAATGTTTGAACCGGTTATGTATTGGATTGGCCAATAATGATGATGATGATAATGGCAATTGTATTGGCAGTAAATCCTGTCGTGCATTAATGTCAGGTTTGTTTTTGTTTATTTGTTTCTTTCATTCAATTGCTATTTTCCAATTCACGTTCGATTTCTAATACAATACAAAAGTCAATTGACAGCCCAATGTGATTTAATCATTTATTATCCGTTTTTTTCTATTTATTTTTTATTGATTAATTTGACCAATGACAGTTTGGAAGAATGAAAATGGTGAAAATAATTTTAGCTTACAAGCTAAACCATCAAAACAATCATCATCGATGGCCAATTCATATTATTCAATGGCATTGTCCGATGATAATCGTATGGGCAACGATTTTGTTGTCGATTGTCTAGTCAATTCAAATGGCCGTGTCATGGTGGATCTAAGTCATAACATTGGCAAATCAAATGAACCATTATCTAAGCGTGAAAGAATGGATATTCTTCAAGAACAAACGGGACAATTTATCGATGGTATTGTTCATTGTAAATGGCGATTAAAACGACAATTCAGGATTGGAAATAAAGATTATGATATTTCAAAACGATCATATCATATATTTCTAGCGACCGGATCATATGATAATGATGGTGAACAAAATCATAAAGAATATCATGATTTGAAGCTACGAACATCAGAACCAGTAAATCTATCGTCAATCATTGCCGGTAGTCTACAGGTCAAAGATCTTACAGTATTGATTCGTGTACATGGTAAAAAAAAACATTTATTCATTCATCGATTAATGGATTCATTCATTGAATTATTATTATTTCCGAAAAAAAAATTTAGGATGTCTTATGTTGATTGCATGGTTTGGCACGGTACCAATTGCCATTACATTGGCACGTTATTTTAAACAAGCCTGGCCTGGTCGTCTACTTTGTGGTGTACAAATCTGGTTTGCGGTATGGATCATTTGTTCACAATTCGATATTCACAAGAATTATTAAATTATATAAATTAATTTGTTTTATCTATATTTGAATAATAGTTTCATCGTAGTCTAATGATATTTAGCATCTGTTTGATGATTATTGCACAGATTTGCATATTTTATTATATTGGCGAATATCGTGTGGTCAGTATATATTAATTTAATAATTCGGTAATTTATTAATCTCATTTCTATTAATAATTTTTTTTTAGGGATTACATCAAATTTTCGGTTCAATTGCATTCACATTGGCCATACTACAACCGATTGGTGCCTTGTTTCGACCACATCCCGGTACATCAAAACGTTGGCTATTCAATTGGGCACATTGGTTCGGCGGTACTGCCGGTCAAATTACGGCTGCTGCTGCCATTCTATTGGCAAGTAAACTTAAACTTGCAAATCTTTCCGATTCATTCCTGTACATAGCTATTGTTTGGATACTTTGTCATGTTGTTTTACATTTATTATTTCAATTTCATTCATTTTGTACATCATCATCATCATCATCATCATCGATGGCTGCTTTGGCTACATCAAATGGTTTAAGTAATAATTTGATTTGTTATGAAAAAAAATTTTATGAATATAAAATAATTACAATTCATTTTTGTTTTTTCATCATCATCATCATAGAATCTCCGGATATTGCTATGCATGAAATGCATAATCATCATAATCAACGACATATTTATGGTAATAATAATCATCGTCACAATCAATCATCATCATCATCATCATCAATTCGTTACTTTTTATTGGCAATTTATATTCTATTGATTGGATTTTTGGTCACTATACTTGCAATATTCATTGCAATACCATCGATGATTAAAAATTTAATTTAATTTGAGAAAAAAAATATTTTATCGTATAAGTCTGTGTGTGTGTATTTTAACATATATTTGTTCTATATATATAAAAAAATTGTCATGTTATATTCATTCATCTTCATCATCATTTATTGTTATTGTTGTTTTTTATAATTAAAAAAAAAGAAGAAGAAAACCTGCATATATACATTTATTTCTTTCGCATTCGTTTCATTTCTCGATTACTTAATCCATATGCTTTTAGCCTTTGAACACTAACACCTGCAATTTCATTGGTGGTTCCATTTGAATCATTTTGTTTTTATTTGATCGACGTCTTTTTCTTGATTTTTTCACCAATTGTTGTTCAATTCCACCGTTTGATGATTGTTTTGTTGTTGTTGTTGTTGCTCAATGACTTTATCTGATGATAATGATTCTGGATGTTTTGTTTTGTTATGGTTTCGCCGTTTTCTTTTGCGTTTATTCGTAGTCGTTTTAATTTCCACCGTATCAATTTTTGTATCACTACCATTAGCTGATGGATCATGGTCATCTATTTTAACCTTTTCATCATTATCATCTGATGATTGATTAGCAATTGGATATAACGTTCTTTTACTTTTACTTTTTGACATAATATTACTCTCATTGTCGTTGTCATCATTATTTGGATTATCACCATAAATGCTTTTAAGAATTTTTCTTTTCAATTCCAAATTCTGTGATTTTTGTTGATAAACTTTTCTATCATATTGTTCATGTTCTTTTGAACGATATTGTGTCATTTTTTCAATGAACACCAACGATTCAATTCTTTATCATCGGCAAGCAATATCTCTTCATCGGTAAGACCAAAATCATTTGGTTCAACCATACGATAACGGAAACGGGTGGCCAAATCACCACCAACAATATCATCATATAATCCAATATCATCATCGGCCATAATATCTTTATGTTGTTTGATTTCTCGTTTATTTTTCTTTCTTTTCTTCCTATTGCTATTATTATTAATCTCTGCATTCATTTCTTCATCGAGCTAAAAATTAAATAATTTAGATTAAAATCAAAAAATCTAGAGCGACAACAGCTTACCTCATCATCAATTTCAGGAACATAGTTAAACACAGGCTTAGTAGAATCCGATTCAGCATTTGAATTATTATAATAATCATCACCGAATAATAATTTCATTTTTTCATCATATTTATCAGCATCAAAATCATTTTCATCATCAATAATAACATTTAGATCGATATCTTTCAGATCTAGCCGGTCATTGCCAGAAACCGATTTTAATGTCTCAACTTTCTTTTCAATTTCTTCACGTTTCATTTTACGAAGACGTTTTAATTCTTGTTCTTTTTCCATTTTTTTTCGTTCACGGGCTTCGGCTCGTTTGGATTTTTTATCATTAACGACAGTTGTATCACGTATAGAATTAATATTACGTGGATAACGTTTAATGATCGTTGCATCTGGTTCTTCATAATGAAATTTTGGAACTTCTAAAGTTTTTCGAATATTTTCGGCAACTGAAAATTTTTCTGGCTGCTCGGTTGGGCTAGTATCTTGATCGACAACTTTGAAATGGCTATCAACATTTTTATATCGATCTAAACGATTTTTGGAATCTAACGTTACAGACACATATCCACCATTCAAAACATATTGTTTTAGGAATTTTTCATCTTCATCAAGTTTTTGATCATCTGCCCAAAATTCAGGCATTGATTTTGGTTTAGTTTCTTTCTTCTTCAGAGTTTTATCAGAATTTTTGATCGAAAATAAATCATCACCATCGTCATCATCATTTTGATCAGATTTTTCTTTGAACATGTTTTTAATATCTTTACGGATATTATAAAGTTCTTCATAATAGCCTTCAGGTTGTTGTTGTTCATCATTTGATTCATTATTCATCATCATCATTGATTCATCTTCTTCGGTAATGCCTTTCTTTTCTTCAATCAATTTTTCATGATATTTTTGTAGGGTTAGCTTTTTTTCTTCTTGTTTCGGGCTAGTTTTAGATTCTTTATCTTCTTTATCATCTTCTTTGGTAAAAAACTTGAAATTTTTATCATAAATTTTTGATTCTTTATTTTTTAATGCTGAATATACAGCGAAAAAATCATCATCGAATGGATCTTCGGACAATGATTCACTGCTATCATCATCATCATCATCTAGTGGATTCATTGCTTGAATTGGATCCAGCACCTGAATCATCATCATCGATTTCAGACATAATATCAAGATTATCACCATATTTATCTTTTAATTTTTGTAACTCTTCTTTACGGCGCCAATCATCATATTTTTGTGCATAAGAATTTTCCGTATTAATTACGAGCGTCGATGTTGATGATGATGGTGATGGATGATCATTTGAAAATAATTTATTATTCTCATCATCATCGTGATCTGAATCAAAAAGTTTCTCTTTTTGAAATGATGTCATTCTGCAGATTTGATTCAATTTACAAACATTTAAAAATCAAATATCGATTCTATCATCAACAAGAATAATTCTTGAGTTAAAAATGCACGTGGAGTAATGGTCCATTCATAGATTATGTTGTTTATTATTTTTTTGTGTTATAATTTGGCCATTTTCTAATTGTTCGGGTAATTAAATTTCTTTCATTTTCAATTGAATATATTAATCATAGAAATTTTTTGTTCTTGTTAGAATTATATTTGATTAAAGATTTAAAAAATTTTTCGAAAAACTTGTCAAAAATGGGAGTTCCAGCATTTTTCCGATGGTTATCGAAAAAATATCCATCAATCGTAGTACAATGTGATGATGGTGTTAAAGGCGAATATCATTTCGATAATCTTTATCTCGATATGAATGGCATCATTCATCCTTGTAGTCATCCGGAAAACAAGCCACCACCAGCGAATGAAGAAGAAATGTTTTTGGCCATTTTTGAATATGTTGAGAATATAATGAAAATTGTGAAACCAAAAAAATTAGTATACATGGCCGTCGATGGTGTAGCACCACGTGCAAAAATGAATCAACAACGTTCACGAAGATTTCGTGCAGCACAAGAATCATATGAAAAATTGATTCAAGTACAAAAGGTTAAAGATGAATTGTTGGCACGTGGAATCGAAGTACCCGAAAAAGAAGATTCAGCTCATTTTGATTCGAATGTTATTACACCTGGTACAGATTTTATGATCAATCTAAGTGAAGCTTTACGTAGTTGGATTAATCGTAAACTAAGCGATGATTATGATGATCCACATTCGATATGGCCCAAAGATTTAGTTATCATTCTAAGTGATTCATCCGTACCGGGTGAAGGTGAACATAAAATTATGGACTATATTCGACGTCAAAAAGCGGATAAAAATTTTGATGCAAATCTTTCACACTGTCTTTATGGTGCCGACGCTGACCTTATCATGTTGGGTCTAGCTACACATGAACCAAATTTTACGATATTACGTGAAGAATTTAAACCGAATCAACCACGACCATGTGATCTTTGTGGTCAACTTGGTCATGAGCTAAAAGATTGTACCGGACAACCAAAACCCGAAGAGGAACAGATTAGACCTGCTGATACGGAATTCATTTACATTCGTTTGAATGTTCTACGAGAATATCTAGAAAAAGAATGTAAATCAAACACAAGTGTTCAATTGAATTTCGAACGTTTCATCGATGATTATGTGTTTCTATGTTTTTTTGTCGGCAATGATTTTCTACCACATTTACCATCGTTGGAAATTCGTGAGAATGCAATTGATCGTCTGATAAAAATCTATAAATATGTAATGGAAGCATATCCAGATCCACAAGATATGTATCTTACGAAAAATGGTTATGTTAATAAACATCGTGTACAATTAGTACTACAAGAATTGGGTGAATATGAGGATGGAATCTTTAAACAACGACAGCAGAATGATCAAAATTTTAAAGAACGAAATAAACGACGAAAATTAATGCAAGCTGAACAGGATTTACGATGGATGAAACCAGAAGCGGTTGGACGTTCAGAACGGCCCGAAACATTCAATAATCCAAGAGAAGAAGCTTATAAAGTACGTATGGCATATAAAGATGTTGGATCTAATTCAGCAGCAGCAGCCAATCATAAATTAGAACAAATGTTAATCAAACCGAATGATGGTGAAACTTCATCATCAATAAAACGAAAACGCGATGATTCAGATGATGATGATGGACCTGAAGATCTTGTTCAATTACATAATGATGGATGGAAAGAACGTTATTATAAACATAAATTTGGTGTCGAATCAGTGGATAAAATTAGCAAACAAGTTGCGGATGAATATTTTATTGGACTTTGTTGGGTTATGCTTTACTATTATCAAGGTTGTCCAGATTGGAAATGGTTTTTCCCATTTCATTATGCATGTTTTGCAAGTGATTTTAAAAATATCGAACAAATCAATGTTGAATTCGATCGTACGGCAAAACCATTCAAGCCGTTGGAACAATTGATGAGCGTATTTCCAGCTGCATCATCAAAAAATCTACCACCTACATGGCGTGAACTTATGTCACGTAATGATTCACCAATCATTGATTTCTATCCAACAACATTCAAGATTGATCTGAATGGTAAAAAAGCTGCATGGATGGGTGTTGCATTATTACCGTTCATTGATGAAGAACGATTGTTTGCAGCATTGAAAACCGTATACAAAGATCTTACTGAAAGTGAAAAACGCCGTAATTGTCATGGTTCGCATCTGATTTTTACATCGAAAAAACATTCAATTCTTTCTGATAATATTCAAAATGTAATTGAAAATGGAACCGCCGCTGAAAACAATGATAATGATGATGGAGATTCGAAATCAAAAGCTATACCAGCCGCTGAATCACAACCGAATTTAATATCCGGTTCATTAAAGAAAAGTTCAAGCTTTTCAATGATTTATTCACAGACATTATGTTGTGAATTTTATGATCCAACCTATTCAAAAGAATTTATCTTTCCTGCCATAATGTTGAAAAATGCACGAAAACCGGATACGGTTCTTCGACCACAGGATCTTGATCAATTCGAACGTTATCGTCCAATTATCGGTATGAATCGACGTTCAGATCTTGCAAATGTAGCTAGCAGTGGTCATCGAATGATTGAAAGATTAGTACAAAAAGAACATGGTGGTGAACAATATCGTCATGAACAATATCATAATCAATATGGATATCAAAATTATCGTCATCAACAGTATAATTTACAACAATATCCATCTGATAATCGATATTCCGATACTAATAATCGATATAATCAGCAACAACATGCAAATCGAAATTCTGGTTATAATAATAATCATCATCATTATTCTAATAGTAATCCACCCAAACAACAATCAAATTATTCATCATCAAGCTATTATAGCCAACAGCAGCAACAACAACAGAATCATTATAGTACTGGAAGTTATTATCAGAATTATAATCAACAATCATCATCAAACTATTATAATAATAGTCGATATTCAACAGCACCACCACCACCACCACCATCACAAACATCAGGATTCTCATCATATTATACAAGTGATTATGTTAATCGTCCACGACAACAACAACAACAACAACAACAACAACAACAACGCCGAGGTTATCCACATTCATATGGAAATTCATCAAATCGATCTCATCGTTGATTCACATTCATTCATTTTTTTCGTTTCTTTTTTTTCATTTAATTATATAAATAAATGAATTCAATCAATTGAATGTATTCAAATAATTAATCAATCTTATTTTGTGGGCGGGATTTTTTTCTCTGAAATAATAATAATAAAAATATATAGATATTCACTCAATCTAAATAATCTACTATCAAAATGAATATATAAGATATATATCAGTAAATGCCCGTGATAGTGTTCAAAAAATTGCGGAAGCAAATCGATTGTTTTGATCGATTTTTTTTTCTATTCTTTATTCTCATTATCTCCTTCATCGATATTGGTTGTCGATTGTTGAAGTAATTCTTCTTGTGATTCAGCCTCTTCAATTATTTTCGATGAATTCAATTTTAATTCTGGTACCAATTTTTCATTTGAATATTGTTCTTCATATTTTTGTCGTTCACGTATGACAATCGGTTGTCGTTCGATGATTAAAATTTCTGCCAATTTATTTCGTGATTGAAAATTACTCGACATTGATGAACCATATGAACCGGCATCCGAAATGATTAAATAATCTCCGGCTGCTAATTTATAGTTCAATGAAAAATCTCGACAAAAAACATCGGCAGCATCGGTTATTGGGCCTACAATATCGTATTTAAAATCTGATGCTACACCAGCGACCATTACGGATTGTTGTTGATGAACAGGCACAATATGATGATTTTGACCAAGCATAGCTGTACGTACAAAATCATTAAAACCAGCATCAACAACGGCAAATGTACGTTTTGTCGAATGATGTTTCAAATGATGGCCAGCATGTGAACTGATAAATGAACCGGTCTTTGGTGATGTACCGCCGTACGATTCTTTCGAATGGCTTGTATTCGTTTTAACGTATTCGATTTTCGTCAATAACACACCAGCATCGGCCATAAAATTTATACCCGGATCTAACACTAATTTGAGTCCACGTTCCAAAATTGGTGAAGCTATTTTTTCAATCCAATTCGAAATTTCCGTTGCATCGGCATTCATTGCATTCAGATTGCCCACGAATTCACCACCGAAATCAATATGTTCGACACAGATTTTTGATTCTTGCCGTAATTCATCAGCTAAATGCAACAATCTGTCACGAATTTCCAGATAGCTTTCCAAATGTGTTACATGTGTGCCAACACGACATGAAATGCCTTTGATTCGCATTGTTGATGAAGCCTTTACACGAGAATAAATTTCCAATGCATCGGCAATCGGAACACCATATTTCGATTGGGTTGTGGTCGAATGACCATGTAAACTTGGACTCATTGCTCCTAATTAATAATAGTAAGAATTATTCAAATTACAATTCATTCATTCAATTAAAAAGAAATTACCTTCAGAATGTGTATCAGCATTAATTCTAATCGAAACATTCTGAATCTTGTTATATTTGACACAAACATTTTCGATTCGATTCAATTCATCCCATGATTCAGCGTTTATACAATAGATACCCGATTTTATGGCCAAATCAATTTCATCGTTTGTCTTTCCACATCCACTAAACGTTATCCGTGATGGATCAACACCGGCAGCTAAACAACGAGCAATTTCACCACCCGAAGCAACATCAAATCCAGAGCCTAATCTTGAAAAAATATTCAATATGGCTAGATTTGAATTCGCTCGTACTGAATAACTAAGCAGAAAATTCTTTGTTTTCAATACTCCAGCCAACAGATTGTAATTATCATAGATTCGATTAATGTCATAAATGTAAAGTGGTGTACCGTATTCTTCAGCCAAATCTTTGAGAAGAATTCCGCCTGAAAAATTGATTGAAATATTAATGGCGAACACTAACAGTAAACCAAACACAATTGATGAACAAACTTACCAATTCTTAATTGATCTTCATTATCATAGCTATAAATGTTACGTTTACTTTCATTATGGGACATATATGCACGAACATCTTTTGGATCGGCCGACAGGATATTACCTGAAAGTCGACGTGATAATCGTCGAATTTGTCCCATGATTCCACCATCTTCTTTTTCAGCCATATTGTTGTTGTTGATGATGATGTTGTTGTTGTTGTTGTTGTTGTTGATTTATAATGATGATGATCTTGAAAATTGGTCTATAATTATTAAATATGATGATTATGATTGCAACCAAACAAATAATAAACACCAATCGAAAAAAGAGAAAAAAATTCGAATTGCTCCTGAAATGATCGTAAAAAAAATCAATGGCGGCTATTAGTGGGGTGTGCATGAATGGCCGTCTAATCAAAAGTTGGAATCGAGTGGAAAAGCAACGAAAAAAAATGAAAAACCAGATCATTCGAAAATAATAACAATCGAATATTGATAATAATTTCATGCTAATAAGATACGCTACTGGTAACATTTCACTATTTTCAATTTTTTTCCATTGATAATCATTGATTTGATTCGATTTTTTTTCTGTAGATTATTAAATGAAATAAATGGAAAGAGGAACAAAATAGATTTTTTTTCGGTTTGGTTTATGTTTTTGTCAATGACAATGTGTCGGATAGGAGTACAAGAAAGAGATAAATGAAAAAAAAAATTTCATTTGTTTACCACAAAATCAACATCACACATCAAACGGCATAAAAATATGTGATGATAAAAAAAATAAACCTCGATACAGATTCGAGAGTGAACGAATAAATCAAATCGATGATGGTATTTATATTATCAATACGTGAATGTTTTGTTGATCGATGAGCCGCATCAGTCAGCCAGTAAGTTAGTCAATAAATTGATTTTTTTTCGATTCCAAATTTTCAAATGTATCTTATTTTATTTTTTGGGGGCATTTAATGATAAACGTCGTGATGAAAAAAAGCGAACAACAACAATCCAAGGTTCAATATCCGATCAAATCAATGTCATAGTTCAGCTTCAGCAGCAGCAGCAGCAATGAAATAGTTGATAAATTATTATCATTGTATGAAGTTTAATTTCAAATGTATATTTCAGCATTATCAATAAGATGATGATAATCGTGAAATCAACAAAAACTATCGTATAATGATATGATGAATAATGATATGACAATAATAATAACCATAGATGATGTTGACATGCCCAAAATGGACATTTCATATTTATAATGGATATTTCATTGATTCATTCAGATTTTTTTAATTGAATTCAATTTAATACAATTATTCAATTTATAAAAAGCTATACAGACAGACTGTACTCTACTTGCGAACAAGTCCGTTTCAGAATAAAGTCCGACAAATGCTTGCAATGAATGGTATTAGAAACGGTATTCGTGGTAGATCTGTTTGCCAATTTCGAATCGTATGGCTATGTTGGACTAGATTGACAAATTCGGATTGAAAATCTTTCCTCAGTTGATCGTTTCGTGTGACAATAACTAATTGAGCTTCATTATCACGATATACGGAACGATAACCAAAATTAGTGGAACCAACCATTGTTAAATAATATTCGGGTGTTTGTAGCCATATTCCTTTACCATGGAATGACCATTTTGATCGATTATAATAACGTATTGAAATCTGATTTGGATTGGACATTGTAGAGATTCGTCGGAGAAAATTTCGTAGATAATATGTATAAACAGAAGGCACATAACGTAAAAGACCTTTTCCCTGATAGAATCCATTAGCTTCTTCCGAAGCCACGAGAATTGTTGTTGGTGGTAGTTGTGGATTTTCGGTCAATTTTTCTTGATATTTTCGTACTAGATTAAAATATCCGGTAGCTATGTTGAATCGGGTTGAATCAGGCCATTGGTTATCAATTAAACTTGTGGTGAATTTTTCTTCATCCCGAATGTTCAAAGTTTTCATTTGTAATAATGGAAAAACAATTGTATCGACATCAGTTTGATCATCGGAATTTGTTTTATCTCGAAAATTTTCATTCAATTTCCTTATAGCTTTATGAGCTTCCATTTTGAATAGATATCGATGAAGAAATCTTCTTGGGTCATATTTCCAATCATCATGTAATCGAAAATCACCATTCGATTTAAGTTCGAGTGAAAATTTTCCAATCGTTTGAATTAATTGATCAAAATAATCACAAAGTGCCGGTGTATCACGAATCAATATATATCGATCTTGACGATTAGTAAAATACAGGTCACTTAAATTTGCACCGCTTATGACAATATTATCATCAAAAATGTATAGCTTCATATGATGCAAAGAAATTAATTCATTCCATTTTGGACGTTGCCAAAATCTTTGATGCCGACTATTTACGTGTGTGAGGTAGAAATTTACATTTGCTCCCTTGTTTATCAATGGTAATAGAATCGATTTTGATGAACCGGGTTGATCCGGTTTCGGTGTTTCACGTGTAGCACGATTATAATCAAGTAAAATGTTTAAATTTAACTCAGGTGATTTTGATTTAGCCTGAGAAAAACTTTGGATTAGATCTTGTTCCAAATGATCTGTTCCAATATATAATGATGATATGCAAATTCGTTTCGTGGATTGATCCGATAGGCTCTACGACGATGAAATTTTTTTAAAAAATTAAACATTTTTGCAACAAAAAATTCGAAATCAATACCTTTAAAGTTTCATAGAAATCTGTTGGTGTTTTTATCACCGATATATTCGATGAATGTACATGAAAAGTTGGTACTTGAAATTTTTTATTCAATAACAGATTCAAATCGCATAACGAATCCAATAATCGTTTCATGATGGTCGATTCTTTTGGAATATGATTCTACCAACAACAATGAACAGTGATTGATATTCGTATTCGCATGTTGCATCATGATTATCAACCATGTGAGCATATATATATTTCATATATGATGATCTATCCAAAATCAATCATCTTGGATACTAGATGGCAGCATTGGGTTCATTCTGGGATTTGAATCCAAATTATTTAACTTTTTTTCAATTTATAATCAATTACGATTCAAACGACAAAAATAAAATGTTCTACTATCATTTCAAAAGCATCATTTAATTATTTTTAATCAAAAGAAAAAGAGAAAGAAAATTATAATTTACAAATTAAGTATATATGGCGGCGATGGATCAAAAATCAAAAATGTTTCTTGAATTTTTTTTTTTGTCAATAGAGATAGAGCAGAAAAACATGTCAAATGAATTCAATTGTTGATCGTCGTTGATGATGATGATGATGATGATGATGATGATGAAAACATAATACCGGTTTTTGTCATGGCATCTTACATTGTCAATCTAATCTATATATAAATCAAAATCGAATCAATCGATTGAGTTAGATTTAATTTGAATTGAAGAAAAAAAATTCGTAAATTATGTAAACATTACATTATTATTATTAATATATTATTATGTCCAAGGAATGAGAAGATAGACAGAAAGAAAAAAAAATTGATAACAGCGAAAACCAATTCAATCTGTGCAATTCGTCCGTGTTTGTTGGTCAATTGGATAAATTTTTTTGTTGTTGTTTTTTTTTTGGTGTATAAGATACAAAGAAAAATTGAAAAAAAAGAAACTAAAATCGGACATAATAGTAGAATATCAAAAAAAGAAAATTTAAAACATTTGAAAGATATATTTAGATAGGATAGGATGGCAACGATGTTAAAAATTGTGTCTGATTGATTGATTGATTGAGTGAATATAATTAAAAGCTACAAAATTTCAATCATTTTGTGTTTGAACAAAAAAAAAAAACACTGATGATAAAATGAAATGAGAAAAAATTTGATCAACGACAATAAATGTATACACAATATCCACAAATGATGATGATGATGATGATGAGTTTGATTTAATCGATAAATTAAATGAAGTGAGTGTGAATTAAGATATGATTCAGTCATCTGAAATATGAAAAAAAGAAAATAATTAATCAAAAAAAAAATGAATAATTAACAATTAATATAACACATACCAATTTTTGTTTTTTTTTTTTTGATCATGTTCTTTGGTCAACATCGAGATCTTTGTTTTTATTTTCTTCATTAACATCACTATCATCGACAGCATCATTATCATCATTGACATCGATATCGGTATCATTATTATTATCAGGATTATTATTGGATTTACCATCATCATCTACAGTGGATTGGCGATGATTTTTAACGATTCGATTACCACCATCATTATCATCATTACTATCACCGTTGTCACCAGTATTGATTTTGATTTTTTTACTATTATTAGTGACATTGATTTGATCGGATGAATAATTTTCCGTATCACTTGATGATAAAGATGGTGATGAAGGTGATGACGAAGATGATGATGATGCTGATGACAATTGACCATTATTATTATCATTATTGTCATTATCATTTTCATCATCATCACTGGACAAATACTGATAATGTTCATTATTATTATTATTTAATGAGAATTTTATTGGATTAAAATTTTTACGTTTTCTTCCCGTATTTTTATTATTATTATTGTTATGAGTATCTTCTTTAAATGAGAGATCAATACAAATATCATCTTCATCATCATCATCACCATCATCATCATCATCATCGTCATCCATATCGGCTACACGGATACCAATATCTCTTCCAGTGGTGATTGTAGTATCATCATCATCATCACTTTGACCAACATCATCACCATCACTATATGGTTCATCATCATCATCATCATCATCGACAATTTCTTCATTAGGTGTTGCTCTTGAACTATGTGATGACATTGAATTAAAATCAATTGCATAATCAGATGATGTTTTTGGTGAATGATCTGATGATGTACTAGCATTGAATGTTGAATTTAAGGTTTCCAGATTCGTAATAACACCACCATTCATACCGGGTATACCGAATAATGCACCTGGTGGTGGTGGCAATACAGGATATGGATTAGCCGTACGACCATCATGTGGATTAATTTTACGACGGAAATTTGGTGTATGTAGTTTTGGATTTGGATTGGCACTATGACGATTACGACTACGTCTTGAACTGAACATCATATTACAACCATCAACAGTACATTTATGCATTTCACGTAAATGTACGGCACTGAAATGTATTTTCAATGCACCTTTATCACAAAATGTTTTTAGACAAACACTACATTGAACACGTTTTTTTCCGGTTGTCGGGTTTGTTGTCAATGATGATAATATTAATGGATCCCATCGTCGTTTAGTTGGATGATTTGATTTACGTGAATGTTTACCGCCACCGGATTGTTTACCACTATTCTTATCATGATGACGATGATGACGATCATGATTACGGCCATGACTTCGTTTGCCACCACTACCGCTGCCACTACCACCACTACCGGAAATTGGTTGGCTTAGATTCATTATTGTTTCGACACCGGTTGCAGTATTTGGATTGATATTATCATTACTATTGTTTCGATTATTATTATCGACATTAACATTCATGTTACTACTGTTGTTATTGGGAGTGGTAGCAGTTGCTCCAGCTGATGTTGTTGTCGTGGCTGTAAAGGAACTAAAATCCAAATTTTTATTGAAAGCGGCAGCGGCTGCTGCTGCGGCAGCTGCTGCAGCCGCCGCAGCATTTGGATTGTTGAGATCAATTTTACAATAATCAGCGGCTGAAAGTGCTCCCGGAAATTTACTGGGATCAGTTGTTGCAGCCAATAATGTAGCCGGATTTAATAATGGTGAAAAATTTGCCAATGATGGTAATGATGATAATAATGAATTAGCAACGGCTGCTGCTGTAGCCGGTGGTGGTGGTAGTGGTGGTTGTGAAGTAGGAGTTGCAGCTGATACAGAAACACCTATGGTGGGAGGTGGTGGTGGTAAAAATTGACCACCATCATGATGATGATGAAGGTGAAGATCATTATTAGATTTTGATGATTTTTTTGATGAAAATTCATTGAATGGTGATACACAACCACCAACAGCTGCAGCTGCCATCATAAGATTATCCAATTTATTAAGATTATCATATGATACTTGAATTTGATTCTTTTCTTTGGTCGATGATCTATTTATCATATCATTTTTATTATTATTCAATTTGGCTGATTTAATCATCATTGTCGATTCATTTTCGTTCAATTCATTGGCTAATTGTTGTTGTTGTTGTTGTTGTCTTGATGAACGTTTAAATTTATCAGATAATGAATCATGAATATTATTATGTTGATGATGGTTTGATGAAACGGAAGTAGATGATGAAGTGGATGTGGTGGAAGATGAAGATGAATGTTTTCCATTTTTATCATATTTTGACAATTGATGATGATTTGCATGATGATGATGATGATGATCCATTTTGATTGAATGATTCAATGATTGTTTTGCCATCGTTTGTTGTTCATTATTATTATTATTATTATTATTGGTTGTAATTAAATTATTATTCATTATATTACAATTATTTGAAATCATTTGAATTAAATTTTTTAAGCTCATTATAATCATTGATTTTCATGTTACTATTATTGATATTTGATGATGAAAATTTATTATTCATTGTAATAATATTTTGATGATTATTAAATATTGCACTATCATTCACCATTAATGATAATGAATCTGTTGTTATTGTTGAATTGATTGCTGTAGTTGTTGTTGTTGTTGTTGATGATGATGATGATGATGATGATGGTGATATTTGTGGTGGTGGTGGTAGTGGTGAAGGTGTTGAGTATTGTGATGTTATGGAATTATTCATTGTTGTTGTTGCTGTTGTTGATGATGATGATGATGATGGTACCGTTGACATCATCATCGATTCATTCATAACAAAATTCTGTGCAATCATTTTTGTTTCCGGAAATTTTAGAAATAATTGTATAATATAGATTTCCTCTTCTTTTGATACGATTATCCATTTGGTTAGAATGTTACCGATTGAATCCTAGAAATTTATCAAATAAAAATAGAATAGATTAGATTTTGTCATCGAAAATCATGAATGAGTGAAATTTGAATTTGCATTTTTTTTTTTTGTTTTTACATCAAATCCAAGAGGGTGGTGGTGGTGGTGGTTGACATTTGGTCTATATTCTTTTATGGTTATGTGTGTATTGTATACAAACAAGAATTTCTTACAATTTTTATAAACAAAAATCTAACAACGAAATGAATATAATGTGCCATTTTTTTCTCTCTCTCTCTCGGGACATTTAACTAAATAACAAATTGCCAGGCTTGAAATGATGATTGCTTGCTTGTCTTTCAATGTGTCCAACAACAACAACAACACATAAAGTTTAATTTTCATCAAAATATTCTTATAAAATAAACATTTTGGCCATGTCTTTGTCGTCATCATCTAGATGATGATGATGATGATTGCGATGGCAACAATGATCAACAATCGAGAAAATCAAAAACAAACCGAAAAAAAAGAAGAAAGCCAGAACTTTGGAACTTTGGCTGACAAGCTGGATTGCATTCTTTGTTCGTGTGTCTGGCATGGTTTGGTTTGGTTTGGTTTTTGACAAAATTCAGCCATATAACCAGTCATCGTCGTCAATTTTTTTTTTTGTGTGTATACACAACAAACTAATGATGAAGATGGTTTTTCTTTTAAATATAAACATACAAAACATACAAACTTTCAAGAAAGACAGCAGAGGGAAAGAAAGAAAGAAAAAGCATACAAAATCTATGAAAGAATCACAGAAGCATCGAAAAAAAAATTCGTCGCAAAATAAACCAAGAAAAAAAAGTGACATGACTATAATCGAACGAATCAAACGATCGATCGATCAATAATATTGATACGAAATAGTGAAAAATAATTTTTTTTTTAAAAATTCAGATCAGATTTTGAATTAACAAAAAAAAAAACATGAACTTTTCATAAACAACGAAAGATCACATCTTTGATTTGAAAAACAACAACAAAAAAAACAGCAATGTGTAGAATTATAATAACAAATAATAAAAACTGAACATTGATCACTGATAATACACACACACACACACACAAAGATGCACTCTTTTTTTGTTGTTGTTGTATAGATATTATTATAATATTGTGCTAAAAATAGCTTCGAGGCATCATGATCATCATCAAGATGGAATTTTTTTTTTTTTCTTTTATGTTTATTCGTTGCTGTTGTTGTTGATGTATGCTTGTCAACAACAACAACAACAACAAGCAATAAACATGACCGAAACAAACAAATAGAAAAAAAAAACATAGCCGCCGCCAATATCAATGATGATGATGATGACCGATGAAAGTCAAAGAACCCTGAAAAAAAACACACACACACACAAAGGTCATCAAAAATTATTAAGAATTTCTTTTTATTTTTTTTTTTTGTCACATAGAATTGTGTAATAATTTTTTTTTCTTTTTAGAATTAAGTTTTTTAAAAACAAAACAATTGATAATTTTGATTTCAACAACAACAACAACAACAACAAAAAAATTGATAAAAAAAATGCCGTGAAATTAGGAGTGAGAGAGAGAGAAAGAGAAAATGAAAAAAAGCCGATTGTTGACAAATATATTCAATTCGATTTCTTGATTCGATTCGATAGATGTTTGCCGCTTCTTTTGAAATTTTTTTTTATTACACTTTTCTCATTTGGATCACCATCATTCAATGATGACGATGATCACAAATGGGATGAGATGATGGCATCATCATCATCATCACAGGCTAATAAATTTTGTATTTTTTTATTTTATATATTCAAACACGACACACATGCACTTATACATCCAACAAACGACAATAACTAAAAAAAAAAAAAAAAAAATTTGCAACAAGTTATTTTTATATCCATCTTATGTGTGAATACCTGTGAATACTGTTGTTGTTGTTGTTGTTATTGGTGAATGTTTCCAATTATTTTTATGCATATACGACATTTATTTATTTATTTATATTAATCAATGAATTCCTTGTGTGTGTGTTGTAGTTGTTGTTTTATACTTGTCGGTTGTGAATCAATCAAAGCGATAGACAGAGAAAAGATAGAGAGAGAGAGAGAGAGATAAAAAAAGGTGCGATTCAAACAAATAATAAACAAACGACAAAAAAAAAAAAGGTCGGTATTACATAACAACACAAACAAACAAACAAAACAGTGAACAAAAAAAAAATGATCAGTTAGCCTATGGCCAAAAAAAAAAAAAAAAAACAAGCGAGCAAATGGTCATTCGGAAATGTTTTTTTTTTTTTGAATTTATTTCGTTGTCATCAATCGTATCAGTATGTCGATGTTTAAATCCATTGGCATCCGAAGAATCAATCAGACACACACACAGATTGAATGTAAATAAATAAAAAACATGGACACAGACGAATGAATTTTTTTTTTTTTTTTTTTTGTAACACAAAATTTGAATAATTGATCTGGACAGACACAAACACACACACATACATCAATTGATTGAATAAATAATCCAGATGAACAGCAAAAGAAATGATGATGATGATGATGGTGATACCTAAATTTAATTCACGTTATTTTGTGAATTAAATGAATGAATGAAATGAAATGAATCACTGATATATCCAACAATTGTTGAATTGGATTCATCATCATCATCATCATCATCATCATTCCTTTCCTTTCAGACTTTTTATTTTTTTTTTTATTTTGGCAATTTAATACGATTATATCCGCTGATGATAAAATCGAATTGATCGAAAAAAAAGATCGACGTATTTACATGTCATTTTTTTTTCTTCTTTATCTTACTGATATGAAATGCTCATCACATCACATCATGATGATTATTATTATTGCCTCCACTGTAAAAGATCAAGGATTAATAGATAGGTAGATATGCAAGTATTTTTTTTTTTGCTTCATCCATCTATCATAGCCCTAAAACTGATTGATATGATCTGACCAAAATAAAATTGATAACAAATACAATCTTCAATGTTTAATTCATCGATATTGATCAATATTGACCATTGTCATTGATTCGTAGATAGGATTGAATTACTGTCAAATGTAATGTAATATTAAACAAAAAAAAAAAGATTTATTCAAATTACCTGTAGCATATATCCCCGTGAATAATCATCATATGTCCAACCGAATGCATGTAACAGATTAACTAATTCATCATGTTCAAGTGTACATAATAAACGATCCAATAATATTTTCAAACGTATCGGTAATGCATGTGTACCAAACAACATTAATGATGCTATGTCGAATAATGTATTTCCAGTACCGGTGGCTGTATTTGTGCCACCACCACCGCCACCAGGTGGTGTTGTATGAGGAAATCCTGGTATATTCTGTGTTGCGGCGGCGGCTGCCGCTGTTGCTGCTGCTGCTGCCGCAGCCAATGATGATGCTGTTGGACCATATTTAAGTAATTTATCCAGATTTAATCGTTCCATCACTATAATTATTTTATGAAAATGCAAAAATAAAAAATAAAAAATAAAAAGTTAAGCAATTAATTGTTGTTCTATGAATCAAATAACTATGTTGTAATTGTAATTAATTGCAATTAATAAGTTATAATTAAAATTTGATGAATAAACAACAACAACAAACACTCACTGGCTGCAATACGATCTTTATTATTATGACATTTTGCTAATGTAGCTGATATATGATCATTAATTGATTTTAATCGATTATTATTATTATGATTAGATGTTGTCAACATTTCTGATGATTGTTTTTGTTGTTGTTGTTGTTGTTGTTGTTGTTGATGTAGTTGTAGAAAATTTTGTTGACAATATTCCATAGCCAAACGACGACGATGAGCAATATCTATGCCCAGAGTCATTTGGAATGAATTTTTTTTGTTTGTTTATAAAATTTTTCTTGAATTTTATCTTTTAACTTTTTATTAATTAATTTATAATCACATAGTGTACACAACACAAATGGATATTATTGTTAAAATTTTTTTTCATATATAAATAAAAACCAGGAATTAAACAAAAGAATCGATATGAACCAAAACAAAGAATCAATCATCAATTCACTTTATTCACAAAAAAAAATTGGAAAAAAAATCACAAAAAAAATAAATAAACAACGAACAGAACATGGCACAAACATTGATAAACAAACAAACAAACATGATCAGCCTCGATCAATTTAGCATCCATTGACAAACAAACAAACAAAATAAATCCAGATGCGAAACAAAACGAAAAAAAAATTTGTCGAACGATTACAATGAATGGTGAATGTGATGTTGTCGCATTCAGCATCAAAGAGACACTGATGAATGGAAAAGAATATAATAAATAAATATATAAAAATGACAAGACAAACACCAGAAAACAACAACAACAACAAAATACAAACGACAAACTGGATTTTTAATTTCGTCTTCTTCTATGACAATGTTGTTAAACAACTGAAAAGAATCAACCAAAAAAAAAAAAAAAAACAAAATCACTCCATATATTTTTTTCATCGTTGATCCATTGATGATGAGGCGGAGGAGAAGATATGTTTTCAGGTGTGATTGGTAGGAGGGTTACTATTTCTACTCCTCTTTCTTTCTCTTTCTCTCTTTCATTCATTCTTTCTTTCTATGTTTTGTCTGTTTTCTCTATTTTTGGCTCTTTTTTTTCAAATCATTTGGATTTGGTGAACAGACAAACAGACTGTGTGTATGTATGTATAAGGTCAGCTATCTTTTTCTTTCTTTCTTTCTCTCTCATTTGCTTTTGCTTCTCATTTCACAATAAACAATATACACAATGTTAGATGGCTGCCTGGTAGTATAAGGTCATCATCATCATCATCAACAACATTAAAATGAAATGAAATGATGAAACCAATGAATGATGGGTGGGATTGATGATCACAGATAAATATACACACAAAAAAAAAACATACAGAGACAACGACAGATGACATCCGTGTGTTGGTTGTTTAAGTTAATTAAGTTAGTTAAGTTAGTTACTGTAGTATGTGTGTGTATGTGTGTGTGACAGACTGGACTTTAGTTTTTACAATGAATTGAATGAAAAAGGATCCTAGCATATAAGCAACACACACACACACACACATATATACAATTCATAAAAAGAATTTTTTTTTTCTTGAGTTGTGAATGAATTGAGAATTGTGTTCAATTGTGAATGAAACATACCTACCTACTTACCTAACACTCATCAACTAACTAACTAAGTAAAATTTTTTTTTTTAACTAACTAAATCTGCTTTGTATATGATGTAGTGGCCTGTTGTTGTTGTTGTTGCTTAAACATTGCTTTGAACTTGATTTTCATCTTTCTTACGATTTCGTTGTCGTCATAGTCATCGATAATAGGTGCGTCAGTTTTTTTAAAGCTAGCTGCCATCATCATCATCATCAAGCCTATCTTCTCTCACATACACACACACACCATTATTATCATTTGTCTTTCGTTTTTCATTTTTTGAAAGATCCAGATTTTTTTTTTTTCTGACTTTTTGATTAAAGAGTTTTCAGGTATTGATGATGATGATGATGAACCAAAACTAATTTTTTGTTGTGTTGTTTTGTTTTGTTTTGTTTTCAAATCTAATCAATCTTTTTTTCTGATCCTTTTGAAAAAAAGTGTGGAACAAAATGAGCAATTGTCAACACAAACAATCATAATACACACACACACACACAGGTATTTTTAAGTGAATTAAATATAAAAAAAAATTCGTGGTTGACGGTTAATCATCACTATTTTTTTTCTGTGACATGACATGATTTGACATGACATGGTTGGTATTGACCATAACTTTAAACCCTTCAGATAGATAGATAGAAAGATAGACAACAATAGCCAGTGTGTGTGTGTCGGTTTTGTTGGGATAATTGGATCAAGAAAAAAAAACATGTCGCCATTTGAAAATTGACTGAAAAAAAACCGAGACTGATTCATCAACAAGTTGAGTGGGTGGTTGAGTTTTTTTTTCTATAATCATTCATTGATCACCTGATCATAAAGGGGCATGTATATATAAAGATTATTTGCCGACCGAAAGAACAAAACAAAAAAAATTGAAGTCAAATGATGATCACCAAAATGATGATCACAATGGACAATTATTATTAAGAAAAAAGACGAAATATCTCATCACGAACTAGACATATGTGTCTAAGATTTGGACTGTGGACAAACCATTTTTTTCTGGTTTGTCGAAAATAAAACTCATCCATCAATGACCGATGATTTTTGTTAAAAAACAATTCTAAACACCCGAAAACAAATGAATAAAAAAAACCGAAAATCATGATTGGAAAAGAAGAAAAAAAAAGTCAATTTGTTTTGTGTGTGTGTGTGTGTCGAAACAAAAACAAGAAAAATTCATTTTCATTTTCGATTTTTTTGTTTTGTTTTTCTTACCTTGTCTCCACACACACACACACACACATACACACAATCCTTTTACTTAGTTCTAATTCCATAAACTCATCATCATCATCAACGATTCGTTTCGTTTTCATTTTTTTTTTTCGGTGGGTTTCACAAAAAAAAATTATAATTCGCGACAACCAAAATGAAAGAAAGAAGAAAAAAAATCCAAGAGTTAATTATTGGTGTCAGGCACACACAGTGTTTATGGAGAAAAAAATGCCGACGACCAAAAGTCACCATCATCATCATCATCATCAAAACATAGAGTCCAAATGTAAGATGTCAATTGTCAATGGTTACAAACGACCATTAAAATACGTTTTCGTCGTCGTCGTCGTCATGATAAATGTCTTCAAATATGTTTCACAGTGAGATAGAGAGAGAGAGAGAGAGAGAGGTTCGATGTCGATTATCGAGAAGAAGAAGAAGAAATGTCAGTCGGTCGATTAGTATTGCTGTTTGTTCTCAATGTCAAATCAAGGTGAAACATTTATATATACACCTTGTCTGTGTGTAGGTATATTTGAAAATGAAAATGAACCTGATTCGATTTGGTTTCCCAGATTTAACGACAACGATGATGACGACGATGACGACAACGAACGGACCCGAAATGAATTGAAAACTGTAATTAAATTGAGCAAAAATAAGAAAAAAAAAGTCACCAGAAAAAAAATAATAAGAAAAATACCACTTGTGGTGTGCATTCATGACACACACACACACACACACAGTCAGAATCATCATCATCATCAACAATGATCGGTCGGCGTCTAGAAGGACAGAAATGTCAAAAGGCCGAAATATTTGACATTTGAAACAGTGTGTGTGTGTGTGTGTGTGTATTGAGTGTTTGGAACCAAAAAAAGAAAGAAAATGTGGAACAAGTGTAATTATCACCGATTAATCATTCAAAAAAACACACACACACACGGAGAGAAATATTTTCAAGAAGAAAAAAAATCGATCCTATTGCGATATTAGTAATACATGGTCAGATCGAAATCGACACTGTTTTGTTTTGGATTCATGATCACAGCAAAGATGAAGAAAAATTATCCAAAAAAAATGATCATGAGGATAATAAGCAATTAAAGAGCATCGAATTTATTTTTTCTTCATAGATATCATGTGGTGGTCATAACATCAAACCATTGGATATGGTGATATGATATTGATCGATCGGATGATTATTCAATCGATCGATAGATCGATCAATTGATCCTGATCATCAAATTTAGTAAATCTATGTGGGTTTTATTTTTCTATCTCATTTATACTAAATCAATTTGACCAAAAGTAAAAATGTGATGGACAAAACGTAAGAATATTAATAATTTTGAATTGATATCAAAATTGGTTTGGAAAAAAAATCATTTTTTCTTGCTAATTTTCAATCGAATGAAGATGAAGTAAAAAAAAATTAAATGACCCAAACTTTTTAAATGATGATGATGATGATCAAATTATAATTGCATGGATCATAATTCATATAAAATAAAATTGTGAGATGTATGCAACACACACACACACACACAGATTCGTGCATTTCTCATTTTAGCTTTGATCGATCAGAAACTTTGATTCGGTCATATCGGTGAATAAAAATTACAAATTATGAAAGAGGAGATGTTGATGGCATCCAAGAATTACATAAAGAAGTGGTATTTGAAATAGCAGCAGCAGCAACAGCAGCAGCTGCAAATCTACACATCTTTTTAACGACAGTTGTTGTTTTTAATTTTCAGGTAGAAAAAAAATGAAGAAAAAGAGAAAAGAAAAACTTGTCCCCAATCATCATTTATCGAGCATCGAAATCTATCAATATCGATTATTGATCCATTTGTGCGTGTGTATGTGTGTGTGTGTGTGTCTCATCGATCGTTCGATCGATCGAATATTTTGAAAACCAGTTAAACGCGATGATGATGATGATGATGATGAACAGGTTTATCATCATCATCATCATCATCATAATAATCAGTTCAGTCAAGATGCACACAACTGTTTATTTTTTTTTCTTCATTAAAAC